ATTTGATTATTTAATTCCTATTTCTTTCTTTTGATTATTTAATTCCTATTTCTTTCTTTTGATTATTTAATTCCTATTTCTTTCTTTTGATTATTTAATTCCTATTTCTTTCTTTTGATTATTTAATTCCTATTTTCTTTTTTGATTAATTAATTTCTATTTATAATAAAAAATTTAGTTTGTTTCGGAAAATAAAGTAATGATTTGATCAAAAAACTATATGAATGAGAAAAGAGGGAAATAAGGGATTCATATAAAGAATTTGATTAATTAATTCCTATTTCATTTTTTGATTATCTAATTCCTATTTCTTTCTACTGATTATTTAATTCTTATTTCTTCTATTGATTATTTATTTCCTATTTTTTCTATTGATTATTTAATTTCTATTTATGACAAAAAAATTTGGTTTGTTTCGAAAAATCGAGTAAAGATTAAATTATGTTAATTTTAAATTCCAATGTTACTGAAGAATGTAAATAGCGCAATTTTAATTCGTAATCTTTTGATTTTTATACTTTATGCGTTTGGAAATTGTTAGAAATATAATTCAAAATTAATTACAATTCACAAAAAATAATAATCTCTAAAAGATTAATTAAATTTTATACATTTTGATACGATTTATATTTATTATCAATTAGGGAAACAATTTGTTAAATTTTTTAATTTCTTTTTGATTTTTTTGAATATATAAAAGCTGGCAGCAGTAATGAATATTTTTTGATAATATTTAATAATCGAATAAATCATCTGGAAAATTCACACAGGTAGAAAAATTAAAATTGGATAATTTTGGGTCAGAATGATTCATCAAAGTTCGATCAAGTAATTAACTATAATGTATGCATGTTTCAATAAACAATTATGATTAAATACATCCTGAATAGTAAGCAATATCAGAATTACTTGCATTATTCGTAAGCATTGACCGTGATTTTCGACATTCTTATTGTTTCAGCATTAATAGTTTTGAATAAGTAATAATTAGTCATGCTTTTTCCTCTATTTTCAATTGATATACTATCATTATTATTATTATTATTATTATTATTATTATTATTATTATTATTATTATTATTATTATTATTATTATTATTATTTTTATTATTACTACTATTATTATAATTATTATTGCCATTAATATTATCAATGTCATCACTTTTATTATTATCATCATTATCAGTATTGTTGTTATTATTATTTTAATTATTTTTATTTCAGTTATTATTATTATTTTGGTTATTATCGTCATTACATCATCATTATTATCATTATCACTATCATTGTTATCATTATCATTATTGCTACCGTTATCATTGTTATTATTATTATAATTGCTACAATAGTTAAAATATTGTGAAATCGAATGGATAGATTAAGTTCAACCTATTTTTATCTAAATAAACTTGACAGATATTAACATTCAAATGGGGCTGAACAAGGCTGAACAAAATACACCTAAAATTGAAAGTTTTTAAACAACAATTTCCAGTTGTTTTTTCCGGAACTATTGCAAGAGATTTTTGATCATTGATGTTTGGAATTGATTAATCGTAATTAATGCATTTGAAATATTTGAAAGCTATTACAGAAAGTTTAACTTTTTAAGTCCTTCAAGGAAGTTCATTTCCATATTTCATATTTCATCTTTAATGCTTTCAATACTTGGCAAAAATAATACAGTAACTGAAATTTAAGCATTATTTCGATTACTAATAATACTACTACTACTACTAATAATAATAATAATAATAATAATAATACTCAGACTATTATTTACTACCAATAATGCAGCTATTAGCATTACTACTGCCATCACCTGACTACTTCATTTAACAATTCATGTTCTATAGAATAGTTTAGACAATAGAGACACCTGCTAAACTAAGCTGAACATAGTTTTATTCAATTTTTCCGTTCATTGAAGCATTTACAAATCATCGGATAATTATACTCATTACACTCATACTTCTTTTATCTCTTCTAAATTTTATAAATATTATTTTCATATAACTAAAAAAAAATGGAAGAACTAAATTATTCTCCTTAACACCTACTTGTTATAATAATTATATAAATTTTATATAATTAATAGTTAGCAATTTTTCTGCAATAATTATATCAAAATAAATTAATCTATCAAAGAATAATTTTCTTTATGTTTAATTATTTGCATTTAATTGATTAAATCTAAAAATTCCCCAATAAATTCCCTAAGAAATATTAGAACTATTTCTGAAATAAATATAATATTATTATAGTCTGCAGGTGTATTATAATAATAATACAATAATCCGGTTGAAAAAAAAAAATCCGATCCATTCATACGGTATGCTTAAAACATATAGATATATATGCATTAATCTACAACAACAACAACAATAACAACAACGACAACGAACCGTATTACAGTGCTGCTTGTCTTATCTGATCTAGAGTGGATTTAACGTATTTTTCAAGCGGTTATTGTAAATTGAAGTATAAAAAGAGAGTATTTGAGAAGTACTACTAATTAGTGCTAGTACTGCTACTTCTAGACTAACATATGTTTATATCTCTTAAAACTATCTCTGTCTCTCTCTTCTATCTTCATCTTTAATGATTGAAGAAAGATGGAACGAACATTAAGATATGATTTGAGGAGGAAGATGAGATGATATTGTGAAGTACTTCAACATCCTCTTCAATCAATGTGTCATCAATGAATGAAGAAGACGAGAGAGAGGTTTTAGTTGAGTGTTTTCGACTGGTCCATCACTTAACACTTTTTTTTTTTGAAAGGTATAATTTTAGAGGAAATTTTATAACATTTGACGAGGTCATCAGTAATTTCTTTTTATCAAAGTATTCACCGAATATTAATTTATGAAAATAAAATTTCGCTAAATCGATGAATTAAATGAAATATCTGATGGATACAATCAAATCAAATATGTTTGGATCATTTTGTAGGAAAATTTTTCCACATCAAAAAAAGCATTTCTAATTTAATCAATTTAATTATAAGTTGAAAATTACAGTATCTGCAATTGTTTGTTAAAGAGTTTTAAATGCTATAAAGAAGATTAGGAAGACAATTGAGTAGATAAACATTGGGTAGCATAAATGAAGGAAAGAAGGGGGTAGGTAGGAAAACGGGTCATAGGATTGCAAAGATAAGTGGACAGTAGGAAAAGGAAAATTAATTGTTGTATCGGAGAGTTTATAATGAGATTACGATTGATGATGATATGAGAAAATTTGGGAATTTTCGTAATATATCATATCAGAAATTTGATAAATAAATGATAAATCATTTTACTTATTTTTCACTTTCATTCTCAATGCATTTAATAACAAAAGCAACAACTCATTAGTAATTCAACAAATACGACAATGATGAAAATTGTTAATGATATTATCAATTCATAATGATGCTTACTAATTCTAATTAAGCTACATAAATATGAATATTAGTAAACAAGTAAGATGACTGGGTAGCTTCATAACTAATTTTGATTGAATATTAAATAATCGCTGAACTTTTTCAAACAGCTACTTGGATTGCGAATTATGTATCAGTGATCATGCAAAATGGTAATTTTACAATTTCACAATTGAACTTTGCAAATGCAATTTCAAATAAGACATGTTGTGACATTACCGTAAATAAATGCAGAATTCCCAATATAAGATGAAAGATGATAAAGTTGCATCGCATGCCATATTAATATTAATGTGGAACATTTTGCCTAATGCAGATTAACTATTTCGAGGTGAATACCGAAATCAGCTCGTTTGGACTATTCACAACGCAAATTATTCGAATAAAGATTCAGTGGTACATAGCAAATACTCGGAGATTAAACGAAAATACCGCTCAAGCTGCACCTAATTAGCACCTAATAATAAATATTCTGGTTCCCTTCCTTTCAGAATTCTAGATAACCGCTGTGGATGTTGGATAGACCAATGCTGTTTTACGAAAACAAATGTGTTGAAAATAATGATCAGGGATTGTCACAACATTTTAAGGCTTTGCAAAATTAGTATCAGATAAAAATGACAAGCTACTTTACTGCTATCAATGTATTTGACCGACAAGACACTACTACTTAACATCACCTACAATCTTATATTCTTCATAGTGTTATTAAAACATTCAAATATGCTGAAAGCAGCTATTATGCGACTTTATACACGATTTTATTTGAATTAGCGCTCAAAGACACAACCGAAATGATAATCGCTATTTCGGCGTTTTTATCACAGACAAATACTGTACTATATTGAATAGTCTCGGGATCCATATCCAAAGGTATTTTAAGCCGGTCGAAGAAATCTATATAATCACCAACATAGCCAATAAAATTTAACGGCACATAATAAATCATCCACGACAGTACCGTAACATGAATGGAACAAAACGGCGATCCACTTCAAAGAAAACATAGGAACGTACAACCTTATTGTTTCATCTGGGAACAATAGCGGTGCAGTTAAGGTGCTAGTAATTACGTCACAGATGTTCGTCCTCTCAGAGGACCTCCTTTTTCGGTATGTCTGTTATGTGAAAGGACAAGAAAACAAGAATGCTACTGATGTACGTGAATATCTCTCATGCTAAAAGATACAAATGATCAAAACAGCAACACCTGTCAAATTTCTGTTGACAAGATTAGGTCAGCACTACCACTTTAATATTTTGTTTGTCATTTTGTTTCAGTAAAAGACCGATAATGCCAAGAAACTTATAATTGAGCGGTTGTAGAGCAACTTCCAACAAAGAAGAAACTACTTATCCTGTAGATAGCCCTTTTTAAACGAGATAATCAGTCGAACTCTCAGCAACTCTCATAACAAGATATTATTAAAATTCAGTGCCATCAAATCCATTTTTTGCACTGGAATAATTGCAGCATACATGAAGACCAAAACAAATGAATTTTATCAGTAAGAAAAAATATTTTCCGAAATAGAGAACTGAAACAAGAATTCAATCAGGTAGCGTTTACTTCTTAAATTTTGTTAAAAGCGACAATGTCGACACTTTGCACCTGAAATAAAAAGGAATGATGAAAAGTTAAATAACATTGCGATATGAACTTCAATTCTCTCCAAACAGAAATAAAGTGAAAAAGTGGAATAATAAAGAGGAAGAAAAAGTAAAAATAAATTTAAAAACTGGTAAAAATGTACATAGTCTGACACTTCCTCGGTTATCTGATCCATAAGATCATCCACAGAAACTTTCGCATCTTCCACAACGCATATAATTTGCAGTACATTAATACCGAAGGCAAGCGGGATCAATTTTGCTAGAAAATATTCAATCAAGAATGGTTGTTCTAACAATAATGAATTAAAATTATCCGGAAATAGAAAATGCAAACAGTTAACATAAAATGACTTCATTCCAAAGAATGACAAAAAACGGAAAATTTCATACCGTAAAATGCCTCCTTCTCTTTTCTATCAACAAAATACAAAAACAAGGAAAAAGCGGACTTCCAGCCATTGGTTTATCATGCTAAGTAATGACTACGTATGGATACTCAGTTACAATAACAGTTTTTCACATAATTTAAAAAAACAAAAAACAAAAACAAACCACCACCCCAGACGAGGCCATCTTTTTCAATCTTCCTTACAAGTTTCTCCATTTCTTGCATATCTGTCGTGTCATCCCAAGGCTTAAAATTGGGCGTTAAATGAAAATGAAAAAAGCATAGACGAAAACGAACTCCTTGATCTTTGTATCTTTGGATAATTTCAGTTTCCAAGGAATGTCTTCCACACACAGAAGTATTAAAGAGAACTTCTCAAATTTGAAAACTATACGACTGTTTAATGCAGTACGTTTTCGATGTGATAACACACTATTGGCAACATTTACCATTAAAATAAGGAAAAAGATTTATTTTGATATCTAGAATAATAAAAAAACCTACTTTCACATCCAAAATAATAGAAGACTTGGCAATGTGTTCTGGTTCCTTTGCTTTTTTTTTAGCATAAGCCTCCAGTCTCTCCTGCTTGATACTTTCTTTTTTCGCATTTTCCTCTTCATCCGATGATCCAAATAAATCAAAATCATCCTCCTCTGAGGCTTCTAATGGTTTCTCAATTTTCGATGGTGAATGTTCTGCCACAGTAGGTAGAGGAAGGCCATCACTCTAAAATAATAAAATATACGGCTGACAAAATCATCTACTTCCAAGTTTTAAAAACTTTAAAAAACTCTGAAAACATTCACTGACTATCAATAGAAGATTTGCTTGAAAATTTTAACAATACAATAAGCTATGATCTTCATCACGAAAAAAGTTTTATTTTATACAGCGATGGGCAGGTCATCTCCACTTAAAAAACATGAATCTCTATAGACATACCAAAGGAAACAATTCAAAACGTCAAACTTCATTATTACATTAACAAAATGTCAACATACCATTCTTTCGAACTATGAAAGAAATAGAGTTGAAGATGGAACATGAAATACAGAAAACACGAGTCTCTAATGAGAACAATTTATTCGGAAACGAATGTTGAAGAAATATACTATGATCGAAAATCTTTCAAATTACGTTACAATCATTTCTAGATGTTGTTCAATGAAACGATTGTTAAGCATCAATTTAATCTCTTCATGAATAGAGTTACAAAGCTTTCTAGATAATGGAATCCTCCAGCTCTGCCATACAAAACGGTAAATGTAGTTGGGCTGCCCCAAATAGTCTGTTCTCTTATCCACGACTTCATAGAAGTCCACCAAAGCATTCCCACAAATTTCTTCAATTAAGACAAATAAAATTCTCTCCAACTCTGCCACCTTTTCTGGATTCAAATAAATAATTGATAGATCTCTCTGGAAAAATGGTCTCCACTCATGAGCAATTCCTTTGATTTTAAAAATCTCATTTTCATATTCAATGAGTTCCTTGATTTTAATAACGACAGGACTTTTAATGAAAGTGAGAGTTTCCGAGCCAATTTTGTTGTTAAAGGATCGTTCTGAATTATGGTATCCTGAACTAATATATGAAGGAAACAATTTTGGTTGAAAAATGGAAGCTTCTTGCAGAATGAAGTATTCTTCGGCAGCTATGTAAATAATGTTCCAGCTGTCTGATCTGTGTTCTGGCAATCGTTGATATTTGAAGCATCGCTTAAACAGTATAGATAAATGATCTAATCCACTCTGTCCCTTAGCAAGAGTAATATGGAAACGACCCGATAATAATAATCGCCCAATATTTGCAAATGCCTTCCGCATGAGCTGACGACTTCTACGAAGATTTGTCTTTCCACAGTGATGAGGAAAATTCCATATAATATCATTGTAAAACCCTCTATAATCTTCTGGAAGTGAACAGGCATCGGTCGAAAATAAGATGTGGACATTAGGATGATTAGTTTGAAGTTCCATGATATTCTTTTCGCCAGAAGGATATTTCGTAATATATTCAGAGTAGCTCTCAAAAACACTTGCATATATTTCGGTCTCAGGATGTAAACGAGCAAATGCAAGACTGAACGAAAGATTGCCATCGCCCAGAATAAGTGTCCTACTTCCAACTCTTTCCAGTGCAGAAGACATGCAAGATCTTAACTGCAAATGAAACTGAGCTTTAATAACTGCTTATAAAATCAGCAGTATTCTGGATGCTAAGATCTTAGATGCTACAATTCCGCAGAGAAAACTGAAGTAGATAAAAGAAATGAAAGACAACCCTATCCTTTCCTTGAAGAAAAACATCGCCAACGGGAAAAAACATGCCTCACTTTATCAAAAAGTACTGTACGATAGAAGTATCACTTGCTAGCGAACCGAAGAGCATCTCAATACTAAACTTTTTTACATAAATTTGGTAAAGATATATATGCTGCCAATGGAATTCGGCTTAAACCCCAAAAAACTATTCATGGAAGAGAAATAAATGATACTTAGAGGAAACACAAGTAAACAATTATAGAGAAAAGGCTGCAGAAGTGCAAAAGAGCTAATTTATAGAAATCAAAGGAAATATTTGAAAATTGAATGGAAACAAAAAAATCATTTTTTCCTTCTGAAAAGTTAGTGACTGACCTGGTGGATGTAATTTAATATCTTTTGGAAGTCCTCACGTAGTTTTTCAATTTCGTTTCGCATTTCATCACTTACTTTCTTTAATGTGGCAACTTCACCAGTTAATTTTGTTAGAGCGTCACCTGCTGCATCTTCTAGAATTGAAACTATGAAGATATATCAAAACTTTGAGCTGAATTTCTTTGATGCAAGCGTTTTACTCTATGAGAGTAGTAATATACAGTTTTCAGGAAGCGAAAACTTTATATTACTACTCTCATAGAATCTGCCAATCATAAGTTATTGAAGATCACACAATATTTACTTTTTTTTACTGGGTGATGCATTAAACAAAACGTCAAATTCGTGCGTCAAATCCGTAATCACGCAACTGCTCGAAAAAAGACACAGTGGATGAGCGAAAAACTTCGAAAATGTGCAGTAAAAAATAACACTGAATGACTAATTTTAATCAATAATGACCAATGTTAATAAACAATGCTAACTGTCAAATAGATCGCAATAAAAACAACTTCCTAAATCATCAAAAACGCAGCTGTCCGATTAAATGAATCTCTTTGCGTACAACGCATATCATTAATTGCATAGTAAGTTATTACTATTGCGAGATATAGAAGCTGTATAATAAATTCACTACCATTAGTATCTCCCAGGGCTTGCTTCAACGTCTTTCTTGCATTAGCGATAGCGTCATGTAGACCATCCATCCCAATAGATGTTTGATTCACAATGTCACTTTGATTTTTGTCTTTCTGATCCATGCTTTTACTCTTGTAACGCTCTGGTTCACTGCTACCTGAAAAATTCTTGGAAATTTGTATGACACTAGGGTTATTAAGCAGCAAACAAGAACTTGAATATGTGCCGTATAAAAAGAACTTTCTCCTGCGCTGGTTAATTTTGCAGGAATATAACAATGACTCATAAAGAAAACACTTTATATTCATTTAGACTCATATTTTCTAGGACCAAGATAAGTAACAATATGCCAATACCTATTTTCAATTGGAACGTGTATCTCGAGATAAATAAGAACCTCACAACGCTGAGAAACGATAGAAATAGAGCTGTAGGACGACACCGAACAGAACAAAAAAGACAATAAGTAAGCACTTAAGTAATGACAAACCAGATATCCCCTTTTTTGATCCATCGTTTGAGTGATAGTGGTAGAGCATTTTATCACCAAAAAACAACTCATCCGCTTTTTTCAACGTCAATTGATGGCCAAATAATGTAGTCACCTCTGACAAAAGACTTTCTACCGACACCATCTTCCTGCAATAGATTTACGCATTCTAATTAACGCATAAAGTGATAAGCAGCTAGTAATACATAAACTAATAACGTGACTATCTTTCATGAGACAAATGCATCATAAATATTCTTTTTAGAGCTTATGTTTTGAAATCAAATAAAAACCATTTGCCTAACAGATCCGAACTTGCTTGATTTTGTTTGCAAATTAATCTGAACAAAAGCGCATATTTGACTAGTAATGGTTTACATTTACATTTACTGGTTTACATCATCTTCTACGTCCAGTCAAAGAAAATAATCTTTTATGGAAAACTTCTCCAAAGATTCCCCCATCCCTACGCATTATACGTTATGCCTAAGGTCTAGCAGCGTTGCATATCGAAACCACAAGCATATCCGTTACCATATTAGTCAAGATCGGTTCCCTGCTGAGTTCTTTTTTTTTGCGATGATAGATTTCTAATTTAGCAGTGTGGTAAGCTTCCTAATGATTTCAATATTGATAAGCTTGCATAGATGAGATATAAACTGATAAGTGAATATAAATGAATTGATAAATACGAATAAGCAAATAGACATGATGAAGATAATGTGGATAGTGAATGAAGAATCACTATTATTGACTTACATTTAAGTTCTCTCTACGTGTGTAATCAAGTTAATTTTGATGAACTGTCAATAACTAAAGGCTGATAATTAATTATTGGACCACTGCATTATTTAATTAGTGGCGCATCATTTGGTTATCATTTTATGCAAAGTTTATTTTATCACTTTACAATAACTTATTTCGCTCGTTTATCATCCTCTCAACAGGATCATATATCTTTCTCGATTTTATTTGTTCCTAAAATAAATCAATGATTAATTTCTATCAACAGAATGAAAACGCCTCGACATGAAGATCGTCACTCTATGATTTCTGCTTCCAGTACTGGCAGTAGCGGCTTAGCGGAGATATCAAGCCAACGATCAGCTGGTGGACAACTGCGGCGGTATAATTTTTAGATTGAAAATACTCTATATACTTCGTACGGAAACTAATCAGACTTTAATTTAACATTTAAACCAGACGTGTTGGCTTAAAAAATAGTTGAGCTTGATACTAACTGGATTTTAGTTCCTTTAATTTTATCATAAGTTATGTTACAGTCTTTTTTGATTATACAGCCTAAAGAAATTATTCTCTGTGACCGTTCTATTTTTCAATAAAAGCCAAAATTTTGACATGGCATCATTTTGCGAAATTATGTAATCATCTTAAATAATCTGAAGTAACGTTACGAAACTTCTTAAAACGAATTAATTGAGTACACTTTGTTGAGTAGTAAAGTTAATGTAAATGCATCAATGAAGAAAATGCAGCAGAAAAAACATAAGATTTGAATTCCTCGAAGGAATACTTGCGGGATATCAAATGAAAATAAAAGAAAATGGAAGGAGCAACTGAGTAAATTCTCCTAGATTAGCTATTATGAATTCCAATTTGTGAACTTTTCAGATAATTTCGTGGAATTTTAGGTTCACCGCTGGAGTAGGGAAACCGGGACAGGCTCGAGAAGCTCGTGAAGCAGTACGAACAGCAATGAGTACAATGAATCCGACGGTTATTTATTGCATCATTAATTAGTTAAGATCTCTTTAAATAATCTGGTTTAATAAATATAAACAACGGCTTTGTTTATATTTAAGTCGAATTAAGCTTGTGAATTTCCCTTTGAAGTTGAGAAACGAACGTTTCGATGCATGAATAAAAGAAATTATCCTGGGCTTTTTGAATTTTTAATTGCTATAGCGTAAACGACCATTGGCGGAACCACTGGATTATGAAAAATTTTTGGGAGAGAACAATTCGATAATAGAAAATCTTAACCAACGAGAACTGCTACTGTTTCCGCGCGATGACTTTACGGTATTTTTTATTCTTTTAATTCCGAAATTTAAAATTACATAATCATTAAAACTCTCAATTTCGCAGAATGTTTAGGCTTTCACCTTTGCTTTACTGCTTCTCATTGATACTAAAGTTTTTCCTAATTTGCAGAAAGTGAAAAAAATTAATTTAGGAAATATTAGTATCACCAGTGGAACGTACAGTAGTGCCATCATTAAGTATACGAGATATAAAAGAAGCGAAATGGTTACTTACTCAAGAAGTCCTCGCATTTTACATTGCTTCATATCGTGTTGTTCGTTTCAATTACGTTCAGTTTGGTTCTGATTATCACAGTAGCTCCGAGTAAGCCATCTATGTTGCTAACCTTTCAAATATTATTCAAATTGGTTTTTTGAGGAAGATTACTTATATTTTAGTCACATACATTAGTAGCTACATTGTAGTTTCTTGCTTGAACTATGTTTCACTATCGAGGAGGAATTTCTAATCCATATATCGACCCTGATTAATGGGAAATAAAAGTTCTAGATATTTGAATCGAGTCTGAGTTATTAAAAAATAGATTCTAGTGATTAATAATATATGTGGTGACCATAGAAACGTCAGACTTTTAAAATTCTTTTTTTAGTTATGATATCGATCTTCAGCCATTAATTTATGAAAGTGATATGGTCTATGATGAAAAAAAAGAGGTAAATCCTTTCATTCTTTTCTCATACTCTAAATTTTTGTTAGTATTTACTGTAATATACATATATTTCAGGAATTGGAGGGTCGCTACAATTCAGATATTATTCGAGAAGGATTCTTGTTTCTTGTTCCAGAAACTAGTCTTTTGGATAATTTCAAAGTAAGTAACCATAAATGATAAGTTCCATTCAAATTTCAATGCATGATAAGTCCCATTCAATTGTCAATGTATACTCCTGAATTAGTTATCCTCTAGAAAATCACTCTGTTGCAATAAATGGTTTAAGGGGAATGCACAGTTAATATCTTAGACTAGAAATTACTCTGTTTGAACCAATAGTTGTGCCCCCTTAAGCCTGTGAAGACATTCATTTTGTCTAGAATTTCGTTCCCTTTACCGTTTAACAAATAATTAAAACAAAGTTGATGTATGGAGAATTGAAATATTTCGATGAAAAGTGTTGCTTAGATTTAAAAAGTTTCAAATGATTTATTTGTAGAGCATGAAGAGACGTTACTGTGTGCTGAGGAAAGATGAAGACGGGAAGGTTCTTCTAGAAATGCGAAAATCACAATTTGCGACATTAACGCATCCACCAATGATTATAAAGCAGGCAGCTTTATCGACTAGTAAAAAAGGCAGAAATGTTCTTGAAGTAAGTGTAAACATAATATTATCTAGCTAATAAGATCTCATTCACTGAGACAAAACAGCTGATTAAAAATTCTCTATGCAAAAATTCTTTATGTTTGATTTTGAATTTAGGTCTGAAATTGAATTTATAATGTAAATTGGATATAAATGTTTATCTGCTATCCACCGTTTGTCACTGTGGAGAGGAAGCATTACTATTTGTAGAATGATTAGTTCAATTCCTTTTCCGACTAGACTTATAATGTCATATGTGAATAAATTGCTTTTGATTTTCTCTCATTTGACTTATGACGGCATGAAATACTTCGCGAGGCATACATAACTTTCCTCGCGATATTTCAGCATTTGAGTTATGAAAATGGATGAATAATAAAAATGTGCATTGGAGGTGACTGGATCTGGTGCAGAAAGGCGTTCATGGGTTTTAGCAGCTGATTCTGATAGCGATTTACCGCGATGGTTAATTGAAATTGATCGTGCTTTGGCTGGCGATTGCAAAGGTTACTTATCTTCCTCTATCATAATGAAGGGTTACCAACTATTCATAGTTATAACTTCTCAATTGATATTACTTCTTAATTGCACTTCAAATTTAATAGAAAGAAGCAAAGATGAAATAATTTCAACAAGAACTGATTTTCATATCAGAAAAGCAAACTGTTGTGCGAGCAAACATTACAGAAATTCAATTGTGTTCTCTTAATCATTATCGACACTTATACGATTAAGAGAAGACAATCGAAAAATTGTAATAGGCTCTTTCTGAATTTATTAACTTGGTAGACTTTCACAAAGCTATCAAAATAAATAGAAAAAGAAGAATTCACTTATCAAAGCATGGGAAGAGATATGAAGCTTGATTATTTGACGGTGGCAACCGACCGTTATTCATGTTTGATGACGACTGCCACACAACTGTTTTCTCTTATTGACATCATCGGCAACACGATGTGAATAAACAGTTTGCATTAGCCTTCTGTATATATATGTATATATGTATGCGTGTGTGTATATATATCTGAAAATGAACATCAGAAGAATCAAAAAAAATGATGCAGCAATAATACCAATATGAAACGAATTGCATATTTTTTCCCTAGTAATTATTCACAGCTATTTCACGATCAAATGAACTGTTTCACGTTTGTAAAAGAAGGTTCAAATATTAGAAAGATGGTTATTAGACTTCTGCAAATCACTTGAAAATTTGATCTATATGCTTGAATTCTTATAAGAATGTCGAGATAATCCAATACATTTCGAAACGAAATGTATTTAGGGTGTGCTCAGAATGGGTGACGTAGATCTTATATGCTAGGAACTTATATATGACAATGTGGTAAATTTTAACAAAATTTTCCTACACATCATTGTAGATCTGTCAGTTCAGATGGAATTTCAAAGTTCAGTTTAACTTTTGACACTATTCATGTTCTAGATGGAATACCTTCGACAAGTGGCAGTATAGGAGTAGAATCAGCAGGCTCAGGAACCACAGAAACAAGTGACGAACAAGTCTCGACTGCGACTAATGATTCTAGCGGTTGGTTAATTTTAAATTACGAGTTCGATCTTTAAAACATATTGCATAACAAACAAATTTGATTAGTATTTAGATGAATTTAAGCTTATCATGAATAATTTATTTTTGAGAGCTATCTGGAACTTGCTTTTGGGCTGAGCGCAACGCTGCTTCAAAAGCCTTGCAGCCGCCTGTTGTTAAAAGACATTCACTGTTCGCACTATATCCCGATCTCGATGTTAGTCATTTTCGAATTGATTTTTTGGTTCAGATATTTGTTAAATTGCACTTCTATATGGAAAAATTTTTTATCTTTTAGCGATTATCAATGCCAAAAAGTGAAGCAGGCTGTTTGTTGGAGAACATTGTTGCAAATGAGATAACAAGGCCTCCGGAAGATAAGACGGTGGTTCGGTTTGTTGTGGAGTTTCTGAATTTGAATATTATGTTGCCCATTTCAAATACAAATTTACAGCAGGTGCTTTCTTGGAATATTTAAAATATTTTTTCTTGAATATTTTCTTGAAATATATTAAAAAGTCTTATATATATATATATGAATTTCAGCATCAGGTAATTTCTAGAAACTCGCCAAAACTTTTTTCAACATTAATATTTTTGAACTGGCTGAAATATTAATGCTGAAACAGATGTAATGCTATTGAACTGCGAATTTCCATCTCTTATTATTGTTTTATGTCGGTTGTCATTTTCAGATTGAACCTTTCTTTCTGCGCACATTTCTGTACGATTGTCGAGCTGGTCATCGATTGTCCGAAGAATTTCGAATTGATCCGAACAGCGACGAATTAATGGCGACACTGAAAATTAGTGGCAGAAATGGAGCTAGCAAGAATTTAGTTGATAAAAGCACATTGGAAGAAGATGGTGTTAACACTCTGCCCCAGCGAATACTTGCGGATAAAAACGTCCGAAAGGTTATACTCACAAAAATTAAGAAATTTGCTGACGTGAATTTCTTTGGTTCTTTCAGCTTAATGAATATTTCGTTGTCTTTATTGTAATCTTACCTTTTCTCTTTCCCTCCACCTATAATGCCATAGCTCATATGTCACTTTTTTCTGATTGATAAGGGATGGCAGGAATAGTGTAGTGGTATATTTTTTGCGCATTCCTATTTCAATTTCAGTTTATTTTTTTACCTTTGTATTAGTTTTTTCGGTTGTTTCTTCACATTTATTAATTTACTCTCCGAAAGCTTTCCCTGTCGTTCTCTTTTGGTGTAATGCGTTCATCCCACATTATTAGATCAGTTCATCGTAACTAGTCAAACTTGCAGGTTGTATATTCAATTGCCAAGCCACATCGTGATATTTACTTGGTTGTTCGTGTTGATCGATTGCTGTCGGTCGATACATCGGCAGAAATGTATATGAAAACAACTAATGATCTAAAAGGTGTCACAAAGTTGCAGAAAATAATTCAGCAGGCCTGTTCGAAAGCGACTCAGGATAAAATGTCTTTTGCTTGGGCTGCAAGGTTTACTTCATTACTGTAATTAGAAAGCTTGGGTTTAATATCTATTATCTAGGGCATGATTTTTCTTTTTCTCGTGTCGATCCATCTGACACCTTTTCGTTATCTTCATTGTTAGGTTGACCAAATAATCTCATAATGTATGAAAGTATCTTTCTATCTCCAGTTTTTTCTCTCTGCCTATCTTTGCCTATTTTTTCTCTGCCTATCTTCTACTTCATTCATTAATCGTCCATATCTTCTTCATAAAGAGATGATATGATATATTATTGAAGTTAAAAAATACATGGTTAACATCTGATATCCGATCATCAACATTTTTTTCATTAGAATTATTCTTGATGTAATTAAGTTTTTGTTTTTTTTTTTTTTTTGTAGTGGAGATAATGTTTCAGACCTGTATTTCAAGAAATGTTGGGATGTGGAACGAAACTGCCGAATGAAATGCAACTCTATCGTTGTGAAGGAAATAGATTAAGTGACGGAGATTTGCAAAGGATTCTCGTCGATTTTGGACGGTTGGTTCTGTTTGTACAATTTACTATAAAAAGTTTTAAAAAATGACTCGTTATTTCACTGACGTTGGCTTTTTTCATTACAGAATCGAAAAATCCGGAAGACTGACACAATTACCAACGGCAACTATCAGTATGAATATTGACTTCTCATCAAAAGTATCCGAACTGTCAAGTTTGTATTTTTTGATCTTTTTCTATGTAAATAAAAAATTTCTGTGTGTTTCAAATATTTGATTTTTTTCAGTATTTCTTTTCCACGCTGGTTTCAATGTTTACGAATTTTCCAGTGTGTATAAATCCGAGTTTTATGCCTGTTCGTCCATGGAATGCAGCATCAGATAGTCTTGTATCAGCCTGCTTTGAAGCCCAATCTTTCAACGATTTTGTTAGCGAACCGCATACGAGCTTTTTCAATTTACTCTATGTTTATCCATTAACACTCAAGTATGATGGCCAGAAAGCATTTAATAAAGCGCGTAATATCGTGTGTACTGTGCGTTTCATTTCTGCAACCGGAAAAGAAGATGCATCCAAAGTACGTTCCTTTTAGATTTTTTAATTAAATAAATAATGAGATATTATTTTGCATGCATAAGGAAGTAACGAGCTAGAACAAGAAACAAATTACTGAGGAAATATTAGGTTAGTAGTTGTCTATGTCATTTATTCGAAAATTGAAAAAATCCTTTCTTTATTTAAATTCATAATGTGCTCAAACTTATTAATTAAAGTAATCAGTTCGTTTCTGATTTCTGAATTAATTCTATTTTTAGGTCATTTACAATCGATTTGCATCGCCTACACCATTTGTACATAGTATGCGTTGCTCAGTACAGTATCACGAGCAAAATCCGGTCTTTAATGATGAGGTATTTTTAACTGCTGATTACACAACTCCTTGATGACTAATCAGTCTTTTGCTCACTCGGATTTATTTAATGGAAACTTACATAGCTAACAACATCTAAGGTAATAGATAATTATATACAAATTTATTTATAATCATCACATACATCTAATACTTTGGAGGAAAATAATGCAAAGTGTTTTCTAATTTTTTTACAGTACAGTTAGTGATTCTACCATTTTCTTGGTTCAGTAAATTGTAGGATGTGGTTTTATTTGAAATACGTTTTCAGATAAAAATTCAGTTGCCAGTTTCATTAGATATCGGCGATCATTTATTATTTTCATTTAGTCATGTGTCGGTTGCAGGCACTGCTTCGAATAAATCTCAGAACGAGGTTTTCTCTAATTCCTTAATTTTTACTCATTATGAAGTTACTGGTCAAGGAAAAAATTTAGGACTTTTATGGTTTTTTTTGTTAAAATAAACAGGCAGTTGCTCTTGGGCCGTATCTCCTTTATATCATGTGAAATTTTAATGAGATTTTTTGTGCGATTTCAGAATTCTGATAGTCCTATTGGATATGCATGGTTACCTTTGTTAAAGAAAGATCGTTTGATTATCGAACGTGATGATCAGGAGTTTGCATTATCGGTGGCTACTGATTTACCATCCGATTATATAAACTACCAATTGCTAGGATTTGGAAAAGGGGTAAATCATCCCTGATGTTATTCCGTTTCAAACATTACATTATTAAGGGTGAATGTAGTTTAAATTCTAGTTTCCTTTTTCAGTATTGATGCTGCCGGTCTTTTTCGCCTGCTCCACTTGCTTTCTCTGTTAATGAATGATTGAAAGCAGTATCATTCATCAGTCCGTTTAGTTTATTTCACTTTTCCTTTTTAATCCATTTAATTTCATTACAGCATATTGGTCCAGATATCCATTGGGTAGATAGTGGCAAACAGTTATTCCGTGTGCGTTTGCGGCTTGTTTCTTCAGCATTTACAACGGAAACAAAGTTACAAGCATTCTTTCAAAGTTGTCAGAGATTTCAGCGTGCAGGTCTGGTCGGCGATGCATCGTCAAAAACCAAAGTTGGTTTATTAATCTAAATTTAGTTCTGCTGTTCAAAATAAGATCCAGAAGAGAGAAGGTTAACATTGGAGCGAAAAAACAGTTATTCAACACAGAGATTGTTATTTTTAGAGTAGCGCTGCTCACACAGGACGTTGTAATCTTTGGATATTTGACAGTGATTAAGTTTTCCTAGTATTAAACATAATATTCTTTCCTTTCCATTTTTCTCATTTAGCAATATATTGTCAAAGCAGAATTTTCTCTACTTGCTTATGTTGACATTTTGCATCCGTTATGTTGGATTTTTACTAATACCTGCAGCTTATGTTGGGAACTGAAAACTATTAAATCATATTCATTTTTATTTGTATCCTTTTTTCATTGATTTTCTGTTTTTTTTCGAAAGCATGTTTCTCGATATTTACACGAAATAATTAGGGTTTCATCCTAACACTTTCGCAGCTACTTAAATTCAATTTTTCTAGAATTTTTGGAGGAAACTAATTATCGAGAATTCATCGAACCATTAGCTTATTCTAACTGATATTTTAATACCTCATTTAGTTTTCAGGGTATATTTTGTTACCTTACTTCACTAACAATTGTGTTTCACTGTTGTAGTGGTCCAATCCGTCGGGTTCAGTTTCGCCAGTTAGCAATACACCGCCGTCACCTTCCTTATTAGCGGTCACGCGTTCCTGTTCACCGTCTGTCGAAAATTGTGGAATTTCGAGTGAGGAGAAACTTTGGCGTTACGTAGTACAGAAAATCGAGGTGAGGCTTAGTTCGTAAGATTGCGCCGATATTTTGGTGAAATGGAAATAATTATTTCAATGATTAGAAAATTTTGACTGATACTGATAACTTTATTACTCTTTCATGTTTCCCATTTCAAAAACAATCTGAATGTATAGCTTGATATGAGATGGGAAAATGCTGTCTTATTTACGGTTAGAGAGCTTTTCTATGTTTAATGATCGACTGAACAAAACTTCTTATCGCTTCGTTGCTGTTTAATTTTTTTGTCTTATCTATTTATTCATTCATTTACACTTTACATTATGACGCAATTCACTTCAAACAACGAATGGCTTTTTTGATGTTTGGTGAACTTATCTTTTCTCTTTCCGCTTTATAATAATTATAATAAATCAGCAATAGACTATCCCTCAGATGAATTTATATGTAAGGAGCAGGCATGAAAGTTTCTATTGGAGAACCGTGAACCATTTTGTCTCCTTCCGCAGATTTTAGCATTTTCTATGAACTAACAGATTATAAAGAAAGCTACTCTTTTTATATTAAGTTACTCTTCTAGTCAGCTTGCTGTTGGTTGATTTTCTACTTTTTTATAAATATTCCAATAATTTTGAATTTCAAGGATTTGTTGTAAAGAGAGCGAGCGGCACCACGATTGATACGAAGACTTACGCGTGTTTTGCAGAGACTTTTTTCATTCCGGAATTTCGATAAAATAGAGACGTAGGCAGAATTAAGACGAAACTATTCGGAATTTGTTTTAGTTGTCAGATAAAACTGATAGAAAAAGCTCGAGATTACTATTATTTTGAATGATCTTACAAATTTGTAGGAACTGTTAGAGGTCGAAATAGATAGAATCATTCCGTTCTTACCGGTAACTTTGAATCGGTTATTTACATTGTTGCCATATTCATCAACCGACGAAATAGCTTTGAGCACTTTGGGGTTTGTTCTTTAAATATTTTTGGCTAAAAAAGAACTAGGAATTTTACCATTGTTTAAGAGTGGCATATACTGCATTTTCTAATTCTTGTTAGCTTGGAAAGTGATCCACAGTCCCCTTATATAATTCTAACGATTTAACAGTAGTTGAAGTATAACTCAAGACTTATTTGATTTCTTGGAAATATTATGAGTGGTTAAATTCTTTCGAAAAAATTTTATTTAAAAAAAATAGTTATCAGAGTTTATGAGCTAATATGATTTTTGTACATGATTTGTTACCGTTTATAGCACGCTGATTGGTATTGCTGATAAAATTGCTGCGGCAGGTCAAAGTCATCTTTTGCGTACATTTATCATTTATTATTTCCAATCAACGACAGTGAAAAGCAAATCAAACCATGCGGATGAAACTGTACATTCAGCCTTATGCAAGCACATTACTTCGCATGTAAATTATAACACCATTTTTTTGAAATTCGTTTTTCTTTATCCAAATCAGATCATTTGTTATCTAAAACTTGTTTTATTTGCTTTACTGTTCATGTAAAGCATTGATTCATTTATAGATTGTTTCGACAACAAACATTACTGTAAGTTTCCAATTTTTTCTTTAGAAGCTTTCAAAAAGTACTTTTTTAGGTCAGCTATATTCAGGCCGATAGTGACTCACTTGCCTCAACATTTCGGCAACTTTGGTTTCTTCTGGTTGTTGTTGCGAAGAGTATGGCATTGTGGTTGCTTGATGTCGGTTTATATAAGGTTTGATTCTTTTACTAAGTATGAACATATTAGTTCAAATAGAAGAATTTTATGATTTGTACTGTAGTTTTTATTGAAAATCTTTTTATTTGTTGATGTTTAAGGTATCAAGAGAAAATCGTTTTTCGGAAGAATTGCTATTTAGAATTGAGCAGTTAATCGATAAAGTTGTATCTCTTATCATAGCAAAGCATCGAGATATTCCTCAAGAATGTCGATTGGCAAGTTCGGCTGTAGCTTATTTCTTGAGGGTAATATTTTAACGGATATTTTTAAAATGATAGATATTTTTAAAATGATAGTTTTTAAAATGATATTGAAAAATGTTATTTGAACGGTTAATAAATTTCTTTATACTGTTGAAATTTTGAGCTTGTTAATTGAAGTAAAGTTGACATGCTAAAAACATTTTAGTACTGCTTGAGTTTTATGAATCGTGGATCCGTATTCTCCTTGATACATCGCACTGTTGAAAGCATGGATGAAAGTTGCTCAAGGGTATTTCTATTTTTCGAATCAATTAAGCACTCTTATAATTTAAATACACCGTGCGATCTGAGCAAATAAGTTGATTAGGGGAAGATCGTGTTTCATTTTAGCCAGCGAGAGCTTAGGCTGGTCGAAGTCTTTTCGGACAGATGTTATTATGTGGGTATGTCAAATTTTTTCTTACTGCATGTGGTGTAGTTGCTTTACTATCGAGATAAGAACTTTTTATTTAAGTACTCTTTTGTGCATTGTCTGAGCCGGTTGAGGATTAAAACGCACTTTGCTGAACTTAAGATATAAAAAAAATTATGCTAACATTGTTTGTAGACTATGCTTGATTATAAACTGGAATTTTTGCACATAATTAGCAGTCATGAGCACTGGATACCACTATGCTTGCCGCTTATGTGCGATGTTTCCGGAAATATATTCAGGAAGAACAGTCCACCAAGTACAGATAACATATGTAAGTATCTTCTTGACATGTCAGATTTTCAATTCAACAAGACACATTTTTTTAGTTATGCAACTGGATGTCATTGTTTTTGCATACATTCAAACGCAAACTCATTTATACTTACTGCTTATCTAGAAATCATGAAAATGAGGGAATAAAAAGTAAATGCTTCGAGAAGATCAGCAAATAGCTTGAAATAATTTGATGTGCTTTAGTATTTTTTGGTTAATTCGAATAATTGAGTTCATTTTATTTATAGTCATGAACTCTAATGCCAGCAGTCTGTTTACCAGTTTATTTTCGAAATTTTTTTCGCCTCCAATAAACATTGGTAATGGGAATGATTGCAGTTATTGTAAGTTATTGTCTTTAAGAAATTTTTTGCTGTGCTAAATAACTTCTATGTATTTCTTCATATTGTTGATCGCCGCAGCCAAAATAGAAGGAACTTCGATAAAATAGTTTGATATTTGTATTATACGGTAGAGAAATATGCTTTGTTTAATTGTTTAATAATTGGATAATCTCTATATGATTTTATTGGAAAACGTTTCGAGTTTTACTTCTAGTCACATTTAAAATTATGGTTCAGATTTTGCCAAAATTCAAGGCTAAATTTTGGATTTATTTAAATGTGGATCGTTATCCTTTTATTGCCGACAATTTTTCGTAGTTTTTATGTATGTGAAAGTTTAGAGATATAGTTTTAAGTTTTAATTTTGCAGATAGCCGATGTTCGGACGAATTTATCCTCTCTGCTTCTTATTGCAAACATCACTTCCCAGTTGGTTTGCTGTATCAAGAATTGGATGCTTCACTTCGGGAACCGCGTGATTATCGGCGAAGAGTGGTTGCGTTGTTGAGAAACCTGTTTGCAAAACATGCTAGTGATAAACGGTATATGGATACCGTAAGTAAATTCTTTTCTGCCGCTTTTTAGTTCAAAAATTTACTTCAGTTAGATTATTATGCATGCTTTAAATCATTTTCTTTATTGTTTTTCTCTTTATGTTTTTATGTTAGCACGAAAAGAAAATGAATATGTAAAAGAGATTGAATCTCTTTTACACTTAAAGTTATCATGAATTCCCATTGAATAGTGAACAATACGAAGTAAAATAAATGGCACCGAAATAAGTTAAGAACATTAAGAAGTACTGATTCATAATATCATAATAGAAAGTGGTTAAGATTTTGAGTTTTTATCAATATGTAACAACTGGGCAAGATTGAATGAAGTTACATTTTTTCAAGCCTTTAAGAGCAACATATTTTTCAGAGTTCTCAAAGTTGTATTGCTACACTGTATTCTCCATTGATCAGCTTAGTACTTGATAATATCGCAGAATTTGAATCAGCTGCTAAAGCAGATCCACAGAGTTTGTCACCCATCGGTCTCACTGCTGGTAGAAACAGTTGATTTAAAATTTTTATTTGATCTTTTCAAATCCTACCATCTTTCTTTTATGTCGAAAATAATGATATAATTGGCTTAAAAATTGGTTTGACTTTCTATGGATTCCTTTTTTACATTATAGTTACTCTTCATTTTATTTCAAAATGCATATTTAATCTTTCTATTCCAAATTTTCTTATGAAACAGCATCGATACTGCTGATATTTGATAAGGGTATAAGATTTGTGAAAAAGAACTTCTCCGTGTTTCATTGCACACTCTCATCATTCTATTCGGTTTTATGTTTAGGACGATCGTTATCCTTACCATCACACGGATTATTGTCTAGAATGGGATATTCTCTAAAAAGCGCTTCCTCGCATCAACCTTATGCTGAAAAAGTTGGCCCTTCATCTGTACCTTGTATCGCCGGTTTAATGGAAAAGCTGGATCGAGTACGTTTACTTCTGTTTTTTCCTTGCTTATTACAGTGACATATGTTCGAAATATTTTTTATGGCAGATTCCAAAATTTATTGAAAGAAAAAGCTTATTCATTGAAAGATGGTTTTAATGAAAATAGCGATAGACTATTGGATTTTTTCTGTATAATATCAAGTTTCATCACTAATTAAATAATTACCAATAACTAAGCGAGATAAATCTTATCCTTCGGGTTTCTTTTCTCTATTAGCGGTTTTTTAATTCTTTTCATTTGAACGATAATGTGTTGCAAGAGTGCTTTGTTTACCTATTGCAAGTAGTTCAAATTTATATCCAAATGTTGCATTTTTTTTACAAATATGTATTATGTAAAAAACTAGTATGAGATTGTTTTTTTTCAACAGATTAACTCTTAATTTTCCAGGGTGAATCACGAGATTTAATGCTGTGTACCCTTTATTTACTACATTTCCTGCCACGTAAAATCCTGCCTGTAATGGTATCTCGGTATGAATCAAGTGGTTCGTTGAATAGTTTCATCTATTTGTTGCGTATTGCTCTCGATTTGTTCAAATATCATGGCAAAGATCACACTATGCAACGGACATCTAATAAGTGAATCCTCAATGTTTTTTAAAATAGTCAAAAACATATTACATTTATAAACATTTGAGTGATATTTTGCTTATTATAATGTAATGGACGGATGTGTATCAAAATTTAAAAGTGTTTCTTTAGAAAGGTGAATCTGTCTGTAAAACTCATCACTTTTGACTGCTGGCGTAGTGTTGTTGTTTTCCTGTAGTTCGTCCACGAAAATCTGAAAATTTGGTTTGGAAATTGAATAAACAAATTAGAGTTTGCGATTTTTGCAGAATACAAGGCACACGAAAAACGCTAGTAATTCTGCCGCGTTCTAGCTCGTCCGCTGGAACGCTGGGTACTAATTCGACCACAGTAGATAGCCGAACGTCAGTATCGAGCGGCTTCGCTTCCCTTGGAACAGGTTGATATCCATTCATTTTAGTTTTATTTTTCTCATTTGCGTACCAGTTTAACTGATTCTTAATATTTATTTATGAATATAGTTCGGTACTGTTACTGACACTTTACTTCCTAAGATCGAGTTAAAGCGTATCAAATATTTGTCTCTTACTTGGGATCGATATTAAACAGTTATCCATCGACTACAATTTACTATACATAATAGATTAGAACAAAATAAGATTAGGAGATGCTAACGTAAAGTCAGTTTTTCATTTATTTTAGATCCATTATCGGCAAAGCCATACATTGAAACTAACATAGAGGACGCAACTCCATTCAGCGTATTGCAAGAATCAAATCTGACTCAAGAGATAGCTTTGATTGTTTTAGAAACTGTTCAAGTTTTAGCTCAACATGTTTCGGTAAGCTTTTTTTGTTCAATATTTAATTATAATTACTGAAATACTTTGGGCCATGATTTTTAAACAAGGCATTTTCATGTTGATATTTCACTGTAACTTACAGGAAGAATGTGTCTTGCAAGCAAATAAAATACTAGTGAAAGTTAAAAGTGGCATCATTATATTCCTCACGTGGGAACTTTCGTATTAACTTTCAGCTTTTTTCACAAAGATTTTTTTCTACCATATTGTTTGAAATAATAACTTGTTTAAGAGTATAATTAAAAATTCGATGAATCCTGAAGGAGGTAAAAGTTTTTATCAGCTACTTCTTCTTTTGTTATCACTGCTAGACGATTATTGGCCAGAAGCGGTGCGACATCACGCCCTCGCTGCGCTTGCTGTTTTCGTTGGTTTGGTAAGATTATCAATGATTTAAAAATCGCTGATATCATTGTGTGATCGTAGATATTCTTTGTTTTCTTTTCCTTGAGTTATTTCATTGAAAAGCTTGGGCACATTTTTGCAATAGAAATTTAGAAAAAAATCAGAATGCATTTTAATCTTAATTCTTTTACAGTCATAGCTATAGCTAAGGAGAGACAGTAACATTATATCTTTATAAGTGAAAACAGAATGGAAAAATAAATTCCATAGTTATAGTTCCGCATTCAACTTTTCCAAAGCGGTCCTCTGGATGGCTTAGCTGTATTGATCGAATCAATTTTGCTCCAGATGAATAGCCGACTTCCGAAAATACAGAGTGCCGCTGCAGCACTGTTACATCTGATTTTTAGAAATGGCTACGACTGCGCCTCGAAGACAGGTAAATTTTGATGCATTATAAGGAAATTAGTCATGAAAATATAATGAACCTCGTTGAAAGCCTAATAATTACGAAATTATTTTCAAATCTTTCCAAAATTGTTTAAAGTAATTTGCCTCCTTTATGTGACTGATATTGGTTTCTTATTGTTTTTAGTTTCTTACTGTTTTTGATTCGATTATCAGTGGTTTGTTTACATCACAAAATAACAATTTCTTGATCTGCCGAAAGTTCAAGGTTTTAATTTTTCAAGAAAAATTTACACGGCAATTTTATAAACGTTACAGTACGCCTTCCTATGGCCAATTTAAATGCAACAAAATCTCCAAAAATCTTCGATGTTCAGCGACTTGGTCGACCTGGTTCTCAGACTGGTGTCGCATTAGCAAGGTTGGTGCACTGTCTATTAAATATATTATTCACGAAAATATATGTGATTTAAATCTGTTTTTTGCAACGTTAAACAGCAAAACTGTTGATGTATTTTCGAAATATTTGAGAAAATTTGAATTTTAGAAAGAACAGGGCCCATAGCAGCCATAATAATATAAGTATCATCGCTATAAAGAAATCTTTATAGCGTTTAGTTGCGTAGAATTATGCTTCAGTCAGTACTTCTGGTTCAAATTGGAGATGTTCGAATACTAGTAAATCGATTCGGATTTTCATTGAAAATTTAAGATAATGTTTTAAATTTCTATTTCAGACTGCTTGGAAGGAAAGTTCCTCTGACCAGTAGAGATCGTTTCGAACACGGACTGAAAATTTTGGAAATATTAATAAAACCTATGTCTGGAACCAGACCAACATATTTTGAGCGAGGAGCAGAAGTACGTTTTTTTTTCACCTTCATTTAAATTTAGAACTTGAAATGAAGTGAGAAAAGGAGCGGTACCAAATTTTTTATCAATCATAATTTAACGTAAAATTTTAACTTCTCTTTCTTCTGAAATCTTCATTATATGGCCTTATTTTCATCGCTTTTTGAATAATTTTTGTTTCGTTTAGGAATTAATTCAGCAGTTGAGAGGTGTCCTTTCCGCGACTGGTGCTCTTGCGAAAGCTGTTGATGATCCTGTATTTTTTTAATGCAATTTGTTTATCTCTAGGCCATTATGTACAATTAATAACTGTTTTTATTAAAACTCACAAATTTTCTTATTTATCCTTGTAGGAGAAAATCAGTATACCGTTTATTTTAACTTGTAAAATAGGCAAGTACTTTACTATTTCGTACCCAGCCGCCTAGAATGAAATTAGACAGTAGAGCACATTTTTATTTATTGATTCATTAGAATTATTTTCATCTTTCTATAAAACACGGGATGTTTCACAATTACTTTTTTTGTAGATTCGATTGGCAGATTTGCATGTACAGTTGGCTGATAGCTATCGAGGATCGGCAGCGTTGAGAAGTGCTTGGTTTGAAACGCTTGCTGAAACGCATATTCGTGAGCGTTGGTTTTCCGAAGCAGCTGTTTGCGAAGCTCATGTCATTGCTATCATCGGTCGAGAGCTTGCCATTAATGGTTTGTATAGCTTGTGTAATTTTTATGTATGAAGAATTATTCATTTTTGAGATAAGAAAAATTTTTGACAACTGAATGAAATTGTTCAAATTATCAGATTGCGAAGTAGTGGAATAATGCTCCCAGTCCCGTTTTCTTGTTCATCTTAGAACCTAAATGTTTATTTTGCCTCACCAAATTTCTGATCCATAAGGATTTAGTTTAACACGCCATTCACATACTCATTAATGATAATTAAGAGTGTTTGAAAAAGATAGCTGGTCATCATTATCATGTAGCATTGCTTTAAACAATCGAACACATACATTTGATCTTATTGATTTAATGAAATCAGGATATGCGAAAATTGACTGGGATTTATTGGCCTGCATCAACGATACAATAGCCAAGGAAGAAATTGTAAATGATACAGATACAGAAATTATACAACAAGCAGGATTCAGTTTGGTATGCTATGAAATATATGAAATATTATGGTTGCAGACAAACTCAGAAACATTTAAATTTCTTGATTAATAGTTTTCAGGATACTTTCACATTAAAAATAGAAAAGTTGGTTCATACGTTAATTATGGCTGAAAGATTTGAAGCAGTGGGACCGGTTTGCCGCTTAGCAATTCCAGTATATGAACAACAAAAAAATTACCGGGTAAGCTTATTTTTTGCTTCCAAAAAAAGGAATTTTAAGTAACTGTTTTGGTCAAGAATATTTCATTTTTTCAAAAATTAAAATTTTTTCTATTAGGCGTTGGTTAACATCTATGCTGAGTTGCAACAAGCATACACCTTAGCGGATCAAATGAAAGTTAATGGCAAGCGACATCTTGGAACATATTTTAAAGTACTTTTCTATGGATCAAAACATTTTGGGTACGGCTTTTATACATCTATTACTTAAAATCATTTCTATTTCATCAAATTATTATCAGTAATAGAAGGTTCTTCATATGTGTGCCGGTGAAGTGAGCTCAATTTCTTGCCTTCTCACACCTTTTCAACTTCACATACTATTTTATTGTGTTCCCAGGAAATAACTTGACAATGTTGTATGAGTATACTTTGATAGCATTGTATATTTATTAATTTCAAATTTTAGAGAACAACACGGTACAGAATGGGTTTATCGTGAAGTAGGCCATACTTCATTGGCAGAAGCTTGTGAGCGCATGACAGATTCATGCCGTTGTGTTCTTTGCCACGACCGAGTACAAATTATCACAGGGAGAGAGGTGTTAATTTTTATTTTTTTCACACGATGTTGTAGTTAGCAATTGGATTCTTAATAGTCTAAATCATGCCATTCATATAATTTTCAAAGTATTTTTATTAACTTTCTAATAGTTTTTAATGGTATTGTTTTAAATTGAGAAATGACATAATATGTAGTATTAAAATTACATTTCTGCATCGCGCTTTACTTCTCGGAGCATTTGAAAAATTTCTTCATTTTACACTTAGAACAGACACTGATTAGTGGACGTGTCAAAAAGAAATAAATTAGAATAAATAATTTTTTACAGATTGATGAAACCAAATTAGAAGAGTCGATAGCGTATGTACAGATGATGCATGTCGAACCGTGCATGAGCGGTTGTGATGTTAGTAGTTATGAAGCTCATACAAACATACGAGATTTCTTTTATGAAGTGTCAGTAATTGACGAAAAAATAGCAGCCGATGCGCCGCAAGTTGCTCGACAGGCACTGAAACGTATTTTTATTACAGGTGAAAGTTCTTTCTATCTGTGACATCTGTGAAAATTATGAGACTCCAACTTTATGCTTAATCCATTTTGTGTGGTTTTGACATCATTCACTGGTCACATAGCTTGGAAAACATTGGGATAGGAGAAGATGGATTGATTGAATTTTTTTTCCGTTATGTTTATATCTTTTTCTTTTCAAGTCAAAAGATTTCAAAATTTTAGTAGAAGATAGCTTCCCGAATACAAGACGCCGTTCACGTGTTGTGAACCAATTTGAAACATTCTTGTCGCCGTTGGAATTAGCATGTGACAAACTGATTTTCAAATCAAAACAGTTACGTCGAACATTAGAAGCAGCATCAGCTACCGGCGAATCAACGAGACATTTGGATATCAAAGGACTGCAACTGCTATTGCAGGGCGCTGTACAACCTACTGTTAGCTTTGGTTCATTCTTTTTAGATCACATTGAGAGATGAAGAGTTTCTCGTATCTTTAGGAATTGAAATTTAAGTTTTTTATGAAAATATTTAGAGGAGAAGCTTTTCATTCCTGCTGTTTAGTTTAAATTTCCGAGCGTATTTAAATTATTATTCATTCACCATTCAGACATATTGCCTCTTTCCAGGTGAATGTTGGTCCTCTTGCCTACGCAGAAGCATTTACAACACCAGCGCAGAAAATTCTTTATGGTCCTAGTGGTATTGAAAAATTGGCTGATGCTTTTAGGTGCCGTAAAATTTTCGAAGAGATTTCCAAAAAGGGAATATTTGTGCAATCTGGTATAAAGCAGTATAATATGATATCTTTCGTATTTCAATGTATGTGGTTGGTAGCTCTAGAAAGTTTCTTCTTGTATCCCTGGCTTGGGAAGATTTACAATCAAAATTTGAATATATTCGAATAGGCAACTGGAAATCGAGTTTAAATGGATTAATGAAAAGTAATGTTTTTTTTGCAGGTGTCTTGTATCGGTTTGCGCGGAAGCTTTAGAAGCAAATGAAGCAGCAATTGGTGAAGACCAAATTGAATACCATAACATGCTGAAGAACGCATTCGCAGCAATGATGGAAAGGCTTAACGGCTATTTTGGAGATATCGTATGTTTTTTATAAATTTAGTTTCGAAGTTTGAACTAAAAATTTTCTGGATGCTTAATAAACAGAATTTTATCTCAAAATTTCCGGAAATTCTAATTTTTTTTTAAGTGACAAAGCTTCAGAACACTATAACTCATAATTCCTATGAGTTTCACAGAATTATTTTCCAGGTTTCGTTAGATGGGGATAAAACAGACAAGATATCCACTCCAAACGAAATTACCTTAAGGAACTCCATGCATATTTTGGACTCCATCGGCGGAATTAGTAATTAAAGTTTATTAAATTCTGAGTAAGCTCTGTGAATTGATCTCAATTGTATCATTTGTTTTTTTATCTTTACCGTCTATTATCCAGTGATTATGGAATTCGAAATTTATTCCACGGACCCATTCTTATGCATTCTTTATTTTTATAAGAACCCAATTCTTTTCTTAGATTCTCGAAAGCTTTGTTGAAGCAATGAAATAGTGAGAAATCCTATATAACTGTTTAAAAGTTGATTTGAGATTTATAAAATTACAGCCTTCAGTTAGCTTATTGAATGTCCATTTATGAGTTGTCCATATATATATATATATATATATATATATATATATACATGTCTGATGTTTGTTTCTATGAGTATAAAATCACTTGTAAATATGCTTTCTACCTTCTTTTTATGAAGAACAAATATAACATACTTCAGATGCCTGGTCGTACTTATAAACTGTGTTTTTCTCAGAACTTCGTGAACTCCATCTTATCTCTGGATTCCGAAAGTTTCAAAATTACTTTTCTCGTCTAACATCATTATCTTTTTACCATTAATCCAATTCAAATTCCTCTTGAATTTCAATTTTCTTTCTTTTTTAGAGTGAATTAAAAGTTGTTCGCCATTTTTGCTCTACATTGGTGCTGCAATGCAGTTATTGATTCCTATTAGACAGCATTCACCTGATGCTGGTATGCTTTCTTTTTGAACCATGAATGGAAGCGCAACTTACATGACGAGCCTTTTAAGTGAGCTTTGTCCTCTTTTTGCTAATGGGATTGTTCAAGCTATCTAAATTTCCAGGATTTTTTCCTTTAAATTCCTTGTCCTCTTGCTTGTTCAATTCTGTTAACAACGTTGTTAATGACTGCATCTGCTGATCAAAATAGGACTAAAATAAGGCTTTCCCTTTCTCAAAAAAATTCTAAATTATGTTTTCTACAAAGTAATGACGTCAAAGAGGCGCCTTAGGCTTATTAGTTTATGAAGTCATACAGTTGGATGTAGTCTTAATCGAAAGTCGGAACTTCCTGCTGTATTTCTAAATCTCAACAACACTTATTACATGTAATCATTGTATTGGTATGAAGCATATTCGCTATTGTTCAATGATATATATTCCCTGTAGTTTAAATGATGATCCAATGGAAAGAGAATCCATTATAGGAACTACCGCTAAAAATGAGCACTTGGTTAAGTTTGGGTACACATAAATCTACAATTTTTTATTAAAAAAAAGCAACACAAAAGCTAAACTTTACTGAAATGAATAAATTAGGTCGAGAATAATACGCCCTTTTCCCACTTGTCTAGACATTCCATTCCAAATCTATCAGTTATAGAATTTCAATACAGCAAAGATGGAGAAAAAAGGGAGTCCCAAGTTCTGATAATGAAGGTGTCCAATATTTCCCTAATGTTAGCTAAGATTCCAGACAAAAGAAAACTGACTCAAAAAAAATTCCGGGCAGTTGGAGAAACTTACTCAGGTTCTAAAACAATGTCATGAGGTCCGAAAAATGGTGCAACAAAAAGCGATACAAATGATGCGACAAGAGTCGACGACGGCAGATCTGTTCAAAAATCCATTTTAAAAGAGTATAGCAAATGCAATAGCTATACTGACTTTTCCCCACTTACTTCAGGACTAGCTGTGATCAGTTCTGCATGTATCGAGTAGTCTTTCTCGGGTACTCCTGATAAGTTTCTATGAATTTATTTTTCTGCTTTAGTATACCATTCTGATTGATACTCTGCTGTACAACAAAGAATTCAACAACATTGGAATTGCTATTTCTGAAACTTTCTTGAAAATCTAGTGATGCAAAAAGTGTTCCATAATCATACAAAACACATCAGCACATTTCAATAAGTCGGCAGATACTCAAACTTCTCAGTAAACTTCAATTTAACTAATGCTTTGGATAAACAATACTATGAATAAAGTGACTCAAACAATAGCAGTGAGTGAAAAGTGAAACAGTATTGTGAATCAAAATATAAAATATGATTTCAGATTACTGAGTTCCCGTTCACACTGTCTCTGTATGAAATAACTTTCCGGTTCGTCCAAATGTGTATCAGAGTGTAAACGGAGAGTAAAACAATTTCCAAAAATGATAACATGAAAAGACTGTTTAAGAGTAATATATTTTCTAGATGCAAATAAGCATTCATTTCTATATGCCACTGATATATAGCAAGAAACGTGAATACCCGCAAAAACATGAGAGAAATAAACGCCGATTTAAAGAAAGCAAAAGACTTATCATCGTTCTACATCTTGCTCCACTAATCCTGCCGAATGATCATCTCTGTAGACATATGTAAATATCGTTTCAACAACCGATGAAACGAAGAAGAAGCTTTCGCCTGCAAACAGTGCTCAGATAAAGTCCATACTATTTGTCTGTGTCATGAGATCATGAATAATCAGCATGGGAAGTTCATACTCAGTGGTGCAACTTCAAACTCTCTTCATATGGTCTTAGTTAATGATTGTCAAACAATGCACCTACAATTGAGAGTGTCTAGAGTCAAATTCATGCCATGTGAATGTCAATTTTTTGGTGATAGGTTTCGGTCCCAAAGTAATCGAAATAGAATCCTCCGAAACATTAACTGAAAAACCCCTCTTTTCTTCCTATATTTAAAACTATCGCATAGCCAGTGCTTACCAACAATAAGCATCAATAAGTCAGCGATCATCAAGCCAAATATCCTCAATAAAAGCCATATATTCTTCCCAGCACTATTGACAGCATCCGCTACATGTGCATTGTAAAAAGCCATGAAATTGTCGTACTATAAGAAACAAAATTTAAGAAACACTTCAGATTTGAATTTAGAAAATTTTGCATCAACATAAGTAAGAATGCAACTGTACTCAAAACAAGTGCTAAACTACTTCATGCTTTTTGGGCATTGAGAAGAAAACCTGTCCTACATCGGATATAAACAATATTACTATTTCTTTGAGCATACACGGAAAGTGTTTGGATTAATTAGGGTTATCAAAGAATTAAAAAAGCATCTGAATCCAACCCAAACGATAATCAAAAAATGGAACATACCTTATACATCGCGTAGCCTTGCACTAATAATCCCACTGAGACCAATTTCATATAAAGTAAATCATACTTTTGCTCCAACTCCTTCCAAACTTCACTAGCAGCATTAAGATATAGCTTTAATAACGATGTGATTGAAAGGAAGAAATTGCCAGAAATCGTTGATGGAAACTGAAAATCGATCATTTTCCAAAAGCCAAAAAGTTCTATAAGATCAAACAACTAATTTTTAATTTAGCTGCACATGAACAAGATCGTGTAAATTATAGATCTATCATTTCAAGTTTCGTGATTTATTAAAATTAACCAGTTTTAGGAGGTTAAGAATGACAAAAATAGTAGATGTTTTAAATTTATAGAAAGACACAAAATCTAAACCAACTGAATGTTTCTTCACTAGTGTTTCTAGATCCTCACAGAACGGTTTTGATGACAAGAACCAGCGTCGCGGCTCACCAATGCAGCTACTCAACACCACAACAACAGCAAGTATGGACATAACCAACGTAAAGACGAACAAAATAGTAAAGATTTTCCGCCAAATAGATATCACTAAACGACTAGAAAATATTGACTGCACTAGTCCATACCTAATTCTTACAATTGCCGAATAAATTCCATGGAATCCGAAATTACACTAAATTAATCTGTTATTTTTTATAGCAATTTCGATTGCCGTATGACAGAAATCGGGATCATTAAATGTTTCATCCAACAAATGTTTCAAAAACTAGCGCTTCATCTTCCATTATATTTTTAAGCAACAGAATTTTATGACAAGCAAACTGGCCATAAAAAAATCTTATAAGCATATATTTGAGAAGGAAAAAGAACTGGCCACTATTTGACTTGCGCTTTCCGCTGCTTTTCATTTCATGATTTGACTTTTCGTTCTTTCTTAGTACAGTCCGAGATCCTGAAATAAGACATTGCGATGGGGACTATTTTTTGTAAAAAGTGCATGTTCATATCCTGATAAGTACATTTGGTGGTACCAGAAAGTTTTTTTTCTGAACTTCCAACAAGCGATGTCCGATAAACAAGTTGCTATAAAAAAATTCAAAGAAAAAGCAGAAATCAAATGTTACACTCAGCAATGAGTATGAGATTGAATATACAATGAAATTACCACCTTGTTGAGCATGTTCAGCAGCTGGCCCCAAATGTTCATAAACCAGATCTCGATGCTTATTTTTCTTTTTCTTCGTTTTTTCTTTTTGAATAGTTGAACCATGAATGACTGCATCGCTATCCTCAGATTCTAAAAGAAATTCAATCATATACCTTCTTCCAATTTCAATTAGGACGACTTACTTCACTTTGAAATTCTCTTCTTTTTGATCACAGATGCTCACAGCAATATGGTCATTAAAATTAATTCTCATGCATTGAAAAACTGCAAAGCACGGTTGCTATAACTTCACAATCTTTGAATGCCCCAAAACAATTCTGAGATGATTTCAATTGTGGATCCAATCCTCTACATCTACATCAGTATTAATAATGCTGACATAAAGAAAAGAAATACGCATACGTTTTTTGACAAATTTCTGTTTTTCAAGAAGTTGATGTTGCTTGGCGTATCGATAACGCATGAGTCGCACAACATTCAAAGCAGCCGTTTTGCAGCCTTTTTCATCCAAACAATCGCCCGCTGCTTGTGAAAGTTCTATTTCCAAAGGATTGCCTTTTAGATCCAACCATTTTAATGAAATCAATTCCCCGAAAGATAAAGGGAGTTCCTAAAAAAAACTACCCTCGTTTTATCAATATGAATTAATATCAATCCTGCTTTAAACCATAACTGAAGAAAAACTAGAATTACCAGAATGTACAAGTCAGACATTGATTTAACCTAAATTGTAGAAACAAGGCTAGCGTAGAACCACAAAAACCTATGTTAAAACAAATTCAACTCCTGCCAAATTTCATGTTATTTTACTTCAATTTCATTTTTGTAAAGGTCGAGATGAACGAGGTTTGTCAGTTGGCCGAATTCTTCTGGCAAATGGACAATATGGTTGTTGCTGAGATCCAACTTGGTGATATGCGTTAACCAGCAGAAATCTATTGGGATGGACGTTATCAAATTGTTCGAAAAGTCGAGGTTTGTAGCACGCGGGATTTTACTCTGCAATTAAAGTACCATATCGCGAAACACTAAAAGATAGAAAACAATGAATTTCATATTCGAAAAATTGTTTATTCATACTTTAAGGCACTAAGTGCTAAATAATAAATTTTCTATAGAATGAAAAACATACCAAAGGTTTTGCTGGAATAGATACTAACTCACGCATACTTAAATCTATGCTGTTATCGTCTAGAAGCGCTTTCAAATCTTTCAAAGAAATCTCTCCGTTCATTTCTTGCTGCAAAAAGTATCAAAAGCGTCAACGTTTTCCCAAACAAAACAAATGAAAACAATTATTTCGCAGAAAATTTTTTATTATGAAAGTTAGAAACATAACGAATTTCTCGAATTGACGATATACAAAGAGATAAATGAAATAAAAACAGCGAAAAGAGGCAGGAACATAAGGGATTCCTTGAATTTTTCGATATACCAGAAACGGTTCAATTTCATAATGTAAAAACATCTGCAGCCCCATTTATGATTTAAGATAGGCTTGATGTGTATCTAGAGGTCATTTGAATATAAGTGATGAGTCCCAAAGATAGAGCGATATGACTAATAATATAAACAAAAAAAAATCAAAAATTGTGAAAAAATTTTAAAACGAAATATTCGCTAATAAGATAATTAATGTTCGCTACTAAATTCCAAAACTTCTGTTTCCAAATCTTACATAGAGGTCGTCAATTAGCACTGCTGCGAAAAGAACCAATAAATATGAACAACTGGTCCAAAATACTAACCACCGAATTCTAACATTTCTATCCTAAAATTTCTGAATAAAAAACGAAAGGAACAAAGACAGCGGCAGGCAGCCAACAGTATGAAATGGAATATGATCCGTTTAATACAGAATTGTCATAGAGCAATTCAATTCAGAGGAAAAAATTTAATGTGATCAAAATGCAATTAAAACATCTCTCTGACTTCATTTCTAACTGCTCCTATCTGCTTTCTATGTTAGCAATTAATATCATAGGATTTGATAGTACCAAGCAATATACAGTATATATTTGTTGATAATTGATAAATGCGCCATCATGGAGTAATCAAGTGCAGTATGTATATGGACTTCATAATAACAAAAAATATTAATATTCTTGGGAAGTAAATTGGAAGGGAATATTTTACAAAGAAACAGAATGATGCTTTACTTTGTAAAGTATTGAAGAAATGATAAGTAGTAAAAAGAATTCATTCTCATTCTAAATGATACATTGCAAAAGTTGAGTTGAAAAAAAACTTATTTTTAAATTAAGTGTATGTGTTGATAAGTTAATTATAAATTGAGTTCATATCTCATAAGAGGATAAATCAAAAAAAATCCTATCACCTAATACTATTAATTGATATTAATAATTTAAATTTCTTATATTTGCGGATGCTCTTTAATTAATAACATATAATAATTAAGATAAACAGCAATCCGATGTGAATATCCGAAAGAAAATTCTCTCTGTAAATTGGTGAATTATTACGTTCTATTGTTATTATAATTTACGTTTAAAAGAAAGTGATACAAAAAGAATTGAAAGTGATAAATAGATTAAAGGGGATAAAATGAAATGATAAGCGATAGAAATGATAAGGAATGCAATAATTTTGATTCATTTCTAATTTTTAGAAATATAGCGATTTCCTAATGAAGCAGGTTTAATTGTGGAATTACTTAGCTCATACGTTTTGATCCAAATATGATCAAACATTTGATCTCTTCGGACTTTTAATCAAATTAAACAAAAGAGATAAAGGTACAGTAATACAATGATTGTAGCAGTTAGTTGAAAGGAAGGAAGAGAAAATGAAAATAAAATGAGCTATGGACGAATAAATTGAGGCCATCATTATAGTCAACGTCATCATCAAAGTTGCATATGATATTATTGATGAAATCAGATAAGAGTTGATAAATTTCGATCGGTGGTGCAAGAAAAAGTAAATGAAATGAATAGGTCTGAAGAAATTCAATGTTAGGACCAATCAGTCAAAAGCACAAGAAGAGTTAGACATTCTATGTGGTCAATCTGAATCATATGACCAATGGTCAATGGTCAGTTATAAGAAAGAATGAGTTAGACACTCTATGCAATCAATATTTTATGCGGTCAACTATTAATCTATCATATGATCAGTGGTCAGTTATGAGAAAGGATGAGTTAGACATTCTATGCAATCAATATTTTATGCGGTCAACTATTAATCTAATCATATGATCAATGGTCAGTTATGAGAAAGGATGAGTTAGACATTCTATGCAATCAATATTTTATGCGGTCAACTATTAATCTAATCATATGATCAATGGTCAGTTATGAGAAAGGATGAGTTAGACATTCTATGCAATCAATANCAATATTTTATGCGGTCAACTATTAATCTAATCATATGATCAATGGTCAGTTATGAGAAAGGATGAGTTAGACATTCTATGCAATCAATATTTTATGCGGTCAACTATTAATCTAATCATATGATCAATGGTCAGTTATGAGAAAGGATGAGTTAAACATTCTATGCGATCAATATTTTATGCGGTCAACTATTAATCTAATCATATGATCAATGGTCAGTTATGAGAAAGGATGAGTTAGACATTCTATGCAATCAATATTTTATGCGGTCAACTATTAATCTAATCATATGATCAGTGGTCAGTTATGAGAAAGAATAAAATGAATATAAAGCATTTACTATATTAGTATGATAAGAAATGAAGAAGAATGATTAATGGTATAAATTAATTAATGTATTTTATCAATTTATATTATACACATATTGCAATCAATGAAATTTATGTTCATTGATTTTGGTTTTTCTGCGATATTCTGAGATCGTTACTAATTGTTACAGGAAATAATTAAACAAAGTTATGATAATTACTTACAAGCAATTTCATAGCCCAGAACGTGGCGGATATTGAATTAACTGTTATTTAGCAGTCGTAACGCTTCTTAATCATTTACAAAGTATTCTACAATGGAAAAGTTCGATATATGATCTTCTTATAGCAAGCCTTGTGATATATCAAAATTATACATTGATCATTCTCATTCTATGTAATAATTTTGAAAAAGAAAGATATGCTAATTCATTTTATGCTAAATATGACATGAAATAAATTTTCCATTTATGCACGAATTGGTATTTAAATTTAAATCTCCTGAAATTTTGCTCAAAATATATGTTGAATTATTCATCGGCTTGCTCCACAAGGTGCAACTGTTTCCTGTGTTTCATCAGGTGGAAAGATTAAATCGAAGAATTTCTCAAGCCATCCACAAGTAGGACGTGAAAAAGATAAAATATTCCCATTTTTTTCATCAATTCCTTGTGCTGTATTTAGCACCCAATCTGGTGGTAACATTGCTAATAATTCTGCTTCCGATATCATACAAGCAGTTGTAGTACCTGAAAATTACTTACTGACACTGTTAACTAGATTATTTTTTCAGTAATATTCTTTAATTAAATTTATTTGAAATAAACTTCAATTCAAGTACCAATAAGTTAAACGATCATGAATCTTTGTGTTCCATTTTCATATGATTACTGATAGACATGTTGTTGTACATAATGATCGATTGTTATTATTCAAAACAATTTGATAATCTAACCGCTATCAATTTGACGAGCGGTAACCGTATCTGAATCACTAGCCATAAAAGTGGGATATTGCTCTGCTTGAATGGCAATCGCATGACATGGAAGATCAAGAACTGTCTGAAAGACAAATTAAACATTAATTTATATTCATAACTTAAACAATAATTTGTATTCATAATAAGATCAGATCGGCGTAAATTAAATTTTATTGCTGAAATTATACAATCGAAGCATTTTATATTCATACTGATTTTTTTGATTAAAAAGGTATGATTGAAGTTAGTTTCTAAATTTGATACAAAGTGGTAATTATAGAAAAAATTGAGACTAAAATAATTTCTCTGAGCAAAAAATATTTTTATTATCATTCAGATATAAATTATATACAAATGAATATGAAATTAATCTAATTGAGCTTTATCGAACATTGCTTAATTAGGAAGTAATTAGTTGGCATATTTTTGGAATAGCATTTTCCAACATCATTACAAGGAATAATATCATATATTGGAATAATTTTTTAAAAGCTGGTATAATATATCATATTGGGTATTTCTCGTTGAATTTCATTTTCAAACTTACCTCAAGAGGTGTAAAACCGACGCTTGTCTTAATTTGCAATGTTTGTGCGAGTTGATTATTCGATTCGCTAATTTCTGGTGGTGCCAAAAACCAACGACGACACTCAGCCTCTGATCTTTTATCCACCGGACGACAATAAATTTTTATTGATCGGTTCTGATAAATTGCGAAGAAATTATGATAAGTTTCAAAAAGACTTTATCAAGCATAAATGATTTTACATCCCTAAACTTCGATGTTTTTGATGACTGTTTAGAAATGCTCAGAGGAATTTTGCTATCAAAACAAATTATGAATGATATAATTTAAATGATATGATTTAGCAAATAGTAATGCGATCATTTTAAGCTAAGATGATACATGATTTGATTGGATGCTTCATATCGCATTCCCGACTTATACCGAGTAGCAAAATATTGGTAATGTAGGTCTGTGTATCTATATTACGAATAACTACTAATGAAATACTACGAATAATTATTAAGTGATCAAAATTAAGTAATCAGTACTCCGAATAACTATTAAGTAATCAAAATTCAATTAGATAATTGATCAAAATTGAAAAAAATTATTAAGACGTGAGAGTAATTACGTAAAATTGATATGTGACGATCTGATAAGACTATAATCTTTATAATGATATGCATCAGCATATGGAAGTTAATAAATATCACGAACGAATAACTCTGCTAAATTGTTTTAAATAAGTTCTTCCAAAATGTATATTGAAATTGATAAGACAAAATAAAGAAATTTTAAAAAATTTGAAATTAGATAACTTTAAAGTTTTAAATTAAAAAAAGGAATAGATGTAGAAGAATTAATAGTTATAAGTAATTTGGAAAAATTCGATTATTTTTCATGTCTGAGAAGAAATTTGAAATGATAGAAGCGTTATTTACCGGTGTTTTATATACGCTATCAAGAGAAAGTTTAACAGATTGAACATGTCCGGCTTGAAGAAATCCTTGTGCCGGATCTATTGCTAATTCTGGACTATTTGTTCTCAACTGTAAATGAAATAAATACCTTAATAAATAAGTTCAGAGTTGTCGAAATTTCCTCTTCAACAATCATTCAACGATTTTATGTTATCAAAATGAAATGAACTGCCGAAAATTTAAATAGCAAAAATGAAAAATTTTTTTCTCAATTTTAATTTAATTTATTTTTCACTAAAATGTACGTACAATTGACATTCATTTGCTATTAATATTTAGTTTAAATCAATGAATAATCATGAATCATAAATCAATCAATGAATAATCATGATCAGTCATGAATCAATCAATGAATAATCATGAATAATCATGAATAATCATGAATCAATCAATAAATAATCAAATCAATAAACAAAATGTCGTATTGCTAACTTTTACAGCAAAATCCGTTTTTGTATTATTACGAAGCAGTAGACGTCGTCGAACGACTGATTTGTTATTATTACTTTCCGGAAAGATAATTCCTTTTGGATGAGACATCGTCTCTAAATATTTTTGTTTTTTTGAAAAACAATTTTATCTTATTTTAAATTTTAAACAATTCTCACTTCAAGCTATCATTTCATTATCAAAATTTCATTTAAACTATTATTTCTTTAAAAACAAAAAAGATATTTCATTGTTAATTTATACCTTCTAAATTATTAGAAAATACAACTCCGCCAAATAATTGTTTAAATTAAATTAATTATTATCATTTCGTTTTTTTCATAAATAAAATTAATCGTTTGTTTTTTATAAATAATGTTATCGAAGTTGCATAGCTTTTCAAACGAATCGATGATTGAATAAATAAACATACCGTACAAGTGAAACTATAAAATATCAATGATTAATTTAGGCTAATTGTGCATCTTTATACTGTTTTGAAATTCTATTGTTTCTCCTCTGAATTATTTTAAAAATTCGTTGAAAGATTTTATTCATTTGATAATTAAGCATGAGATTCAGCTTGTCGCACTAATTTTTATCTTTGCTATAAAAATTGACCTAGAAATCGATTTTTCATGAATCTAATTTTCGTCTTTTGTATAACAATCAAGGCGGCTAAAAAATTTATTCACTCTTAATTGCTTCAGATTATTTTCAACTATGAAAAGCTAATTAGCGAATGATTAAGTTATTTTACAAACCATTAAACATGTAACAGACATTCCTTACATACATATTGTTATTAACTGTAATAGATTTTGGGAGATTATGCTGAATTATTTAACAACGTTAATATTTGCAATTAAAAATTTCCAATGCATTTAAGAAGTACCACTACTTAATGTTTCCACTTTTTAAATGAACAATTAACTTGTTGAATAATTTAAATGTGAATTATCGTCGGCTGAATGATGATTTACTGTGCTAGATCTCTTCTATTTTACCCTTCAAGCGATATCATAAAAAACTAGAAATTTGTGAAGATATTCAGAAGTGGAATTTCTTAAACTATCTAGAAGACCTCCTCCCTCTGTTCATAAGATTTTTCAACATAAAGTTTTTGCTTACAACATTTGCTTCTAGTATAATATTTCAGATGGCTTACTACAAATAACAATAAAATTCTGAATTCAAATTTTCGATAGATCTCTGGAAAATTTATGATGAAAAAACAATACAAATTAATCAATGAATCCAGAAAAATGACTAATTATGTATTAGTGATTTAGAAAAAATTATGAGAGGATTTGAATTCATAAAATGATTTAAACTTTATTATAATCTATAGATTATTAGTCATCCATATAGATTTATAATGGTTGATATTTGCTAGCCATAACTATACTCTATTTTAAAAATGGTATTGAAATCATCGAAATTGTGGCATTTTTTTCCTACGGATATTTATCTTTTAAAACTTTGATTTCACTCTGAGAAACCTACGGTAACGACGAATCAAAAATATTGTATGATTAAAAGTTTTAAATTTTCCATCTGTCCGACAAACCAGTTAGTTGCCAATCATTATAATCAGTGGTATGTGTCACAGATGAAAAACATTATACACAATCTTTTATTATTACTAGGTAAGTAATCAGAAGAATAGAATTGGTAATGTAAAACGAAAGAGATGTTCTCTCTGATGTTCAAACAAATCAGACAATAAAAAGCAGCACTGTACAACAACTATTAAATTATGCTAAAACATGGTGTGTAGCGAAAAAAAGTTTTTCAAGTGAACATTTCTTAAACCGCATTTGAAATTTTGAAAATATGACAATAAAAAAGACACAAACAGTTTTAAAGACTACGATAGGAATAGTTTATATGAAATTTCAAATATTATCAAATTGATAAACTTGTTGATTAAATCCAGTTTTTGCTTACTAACTGCACTACGGTGTATAAAATCAAAATATCCATCAAAATGTTTGATTAGCAATTTTTTATGAAACCGCCCTATCACAAAAATAATATACAAACTTTAAAGGAATAATACAAATGATAATACTAAGCCGTAGTAAAACATCACTCCTTAAAGACAAAGATTTGGAAATGACTTCAAAAATAAAGCATGAGAATATAAGTTAAAGCAATATATAAAACGAGGCATAATAAAGATTTATAAATCCATTTAGCAAGGTGACAAGTTTAGAATGAAACTTAACAAATAGAACTGTCAATTGTCCTAATTTTATAAAATGCCATCATCACATCACAGAATTTGGCACCTCAGTCTTTTTTCGTCCCGATAAAATGGTGCATATATATATCGTACGGTACTGTAGAGAATGGAGAAAAAAGCTTTTGAATTGAAAAAATTTATGAGGCATACGACATTTGTAAAGGCATGAAACTATAAAGACAAAGATATGACTACTCTCTAGCGAAAAGAATGACGCTATATATTATACAGGATTTGACTGTTTCACACGGTAAAACAACTGAGCAACTAATTTTAATTAAAGGCATAACGGATGACTATCCATTACTGAATTCATCCTAAAAAATTATTTTTCTTGCACTAGTTTTCGCCATATGCCAGAAAAATGAACTCAAAACATCACTTTTTGTTACATCTACAAAAAATACTACCACTAATGAAAGGAAAACAAAAAGCCAAACTAGATAATTTAGTACAACTTAGTGACAACTGAGTTATAGTGTGCCGAAACCATTTTCAGAAACGACGTGACTTGTTCGACCAGCATCTCCGACAACAACATCAGTATTCTGCATCCCATCAGCATGACTACCTGATGACAATGAAACGGTGTTCAGACTGCGTCGGAATGAAAAATGCACATCGTCACTGTCTCGACATTTCTCCAGTTCTTTTATTTTGATAGTATCCTGAAAAATTATCTTCTTTCTAGACTACTACAATGATTGTAATAATAACTTCAAGTTACAAAACATAGGTTTGTAATTCCGCAGCGTTCACAATTCAATACTTCACATTTATCATTATTTATTATAATGAAGATAATCATACAATAAAATCAAATGTTGTTTGCCTTCCTGAAAAAATATTACCTTCTCTAGACGTTGCGCAATTTTCGCTAATTTCAATCGATCCAAATGGGATGGCCACATGTGTATTTTGGATTTTCTCATTAATTTTACTGCATTATTCTCAAAAGCACTAAGTCGTCTGCCATTAATCAAACGTGGGTTATTCAAATTAAATCCCAGCTTTATAAGCAGTTTTTTCAGCTTCTCAATCAAATTCTGAAAACTTATTTCATTAACTAAGCGAAAAGTAAAACTGCTGAAATCAAAATTGGCAATTACAATTATGAAACGTAAAGCATCAAATTCTATTTCACATTTCGGAATAGCGCAATATTAATTGGACATTGGAAAGTTTACTATCAAGTTAAAAAGCCAATCGTAGAATGGGGACACCATGAGTGAAACAAATGATAAATTTTATAGAATTTTTTACATAAGTCGAAGAATTTCAATTTTACATAGCTTTCCGTATCTTAATACGAAAATGAGGAAAAATATAACGTCGATTGCTTACTTGCCGTAGTTGATTAGTTCCTTGCAATCCTTCACAGCGAACCTTCATCGCCCGAAGAATTGATTCCATTTCTTCAAGGAAACCTTCTCGTTTTTCATATTTTCTTTTCAAATGTTCATTCCGTTTTTGCAGTTCATCTATTCTACTTTCGGCATGTTGCAATTCAGATGCTCTCACTGTGCCTAAATAAACAAGTAATAGTAAATCTAATCAGTGGGATAAGTTCCTAAGAATTGAAAGAAAAAACAATCCCTTACAATCATTAGTACTTTCGACAAGGCGATACTGGAGTTTAACAACGTCAAGTTCCCGTTCGCTTAAAAGTTGCTTCATTTTTTCTTTCTCCCTATGCAATTCACGTAAACGTTCATTCATCTGGTCTTCAAATTTTTTGGCTTCTTGCAACTCGTCTTTTATACACTATAAATAATAAGACTGCAATAATGCTAACAAAAATAAATTTTGGAATCTCAATTAAAATAATCGTTCAATCTAACCAGTTATAAAATCAAATAGAATGATCTGACGAATGATAACTTTAAAGAAGTTATCGCTGTATGCAGTGTCTAATCACTCCATTGCTAAGTGACAAAAATAAATGAACATATTAAAATTTCCTCATATTACTACGACCTTGATGGTGCGTGCCGCTTGCAAGCCCAAATCTGTTTTATATTTTAACATTATTTTCGCTTTGCTTACAGCAGCGGCAAGATCATCTTTCTGCTTGGTTAAATTGTCAATTTCTTCAACAGCTCGCTTCAGTTTCTCACGTAATTCAGCGCAGTTTTGAATTTCACATCTACAACTATTTCTATGTTTTGTATTTTCATGTTTTTGTAATAATTCAGAGTTTCATGACCCTTATTTAAAACAGTTGTAAGTTTAGTTGAAACAGGAAATGCTAATAACTGCATTTTTTCAGTAGAAGAAATAATCCTAATAATGCATTTAAAACAAAGTTCCAAAGCTTCCTGACGTGTATTGCACTTCGAGAATACAGCAGTACCTGAACTGTAGTTTTAAGCTATCAATATTTGCTTCATACATCGAGCATTTATTCAGAGCAGAGTGAAGTTCATCTCGAGCACGATGGAGATCAGCAGTTATCTGAAATTTGTGCAACCAATAAACACACGAACAAGATGTTTAAATAATAAGAAATAACAAATAATATGGAACTTTTTCGATTTAAGAGTAAGAAATAAGAATATATTTTGAAATGGCTTCGTTTAAAGTTAAACAGTATAGAGACATGAGAGAAATTTTGTTGAAATTTACCCACAAATAAAGAAAAACTAACCTCTGTACACAATTTTTCCAGTTTTTCACATTTAATTCTGTTGTCATCCGACGCAGAGAGCGTTTTTCGCAGCGCCAAATCCAAATTCGCAAAAAAACGACTCACCTGGAACGAATTATTTTTGAAGTAAAAAGGACCATAATTGATTCCATTCGTCCTACATTGTTTTCACTAAGAACAATTGATATAATCGATTATAACTTAAAAGAAATTTTCCACAGGACCTGGACACCTTACTGTGGTGGGGACATAACGGCAAAGCAGTATCGAGGCACCACATTGCACATATTCTGAAAGCTTTGAGCATTTCGAAATAGAACTGTCCCTTATAGGAGAATAAAGATGAGGCAGTTCAAATCACAGGCAGCTCAACAGATGTTTGAATTAATGAAAAGCTTTATGACTGATAACATGAAACTCTTTCGGTAAGTCGACGCAACGCCGTTTTAGGCATGCTGCCACGCTACATCTGAAAGATGCCTGCAATGAATAACAGGATTATGAGGAGGCATCTTAGTGATTATAAAAGAGGATATTCTCTGAAATAATATAACCTACCGCCCCACTAATTTGTTCCACTGATTTATCGCTTCCTTGTATATCAGTTAGAAGATGTTCCAATAACTGTCGTATGTTAGGACTAAGTTTACCATGAATCTGCAATAAATAGCAGTTTGAATTAGACCAAAAAGAATTTATTTCCCGAAATTTTTTGCAATAAATGTTAGAGAAAACCATGATGGTCTAGTAACCTCCGCATGACGAACGGATTCGAGCATTAAAAGTAATGTATCGCTTGCTTCACTTATTCCTTCTGGGTGTGGTGTATCGGTTAAGCTTTCTGATGATGATTCAATGCTTGATCCAGCTTCACATACTACTAGTCGTGAATCAGTTTTGCCCATTAATTCTGAATGAGATAGTTCCGCAGGTGAAGCTAAACCACGGCAGTCTGTTGATTTATTTTCCAAGACCTAACAATAAGCATTCCAAGAAAAAATAAAGATTTTTCGGGTTGATTTTACTGTTTCACAAAAAATGAAACCCTGAAACATTAAAGTCTTATTGAGATTCTTCGTTCTATTTTCCTACAAAACATACCTTAATAGTGCCATACTGCTTTGCCGGTGGATCTGACATCATTCGGTACACAAGGGCACTGAGATCTTGATATTTCTAAAATATTGAACTACGAAAAATCAGTATCCATAAAACATGAAATGTAACACCAACTTCCTACAAAACTTGTAAACAAATCTCAAATCCTTACTTCTTTCAATTCATACAATTGTGAACGTATGTTAGCAGGAAGTGCATCCCATATAGTAATATCTGTGCAGCTTTTTGCATTAGCTGAACAAGAAAGAACAGTGCTGCTCTGTCCTTCAAATAGAGAAAAAATTATTCATAAAGGATTTGAAACTCCAACAAAGATAAAGAACAATAACAAATACGTGTTCAATTATTGCTAGGTGAACATAGAACAGAAATGCAGGAAACAAAATACCAGAATAAGATTCGAACAAAGCAATTCGTGCATGTAAACGTTCCAGACGTTCATCTTTGTCCTTAATTAATTGATTTAGCTGTGCGGTTTCTAACTGATACTGAATTTCGGCTTGATTCTATAAATCAGTATCGGTGAATGTTCAAAGAAAGCTATGGAAGCTTTAATTCCGGTTAATTTTTATTTCAAATGAAAAGGACATCGATTATTAAGGAAGCACATGCAACAATAATAATTCTGATTCATACAAAGAAAGCTAACCCGGAAAATATCATATTCCGTATTGACTTTGTCCACCATTGTCTTTAAACGCATATTTTCATGTTTCAGATCTGCTTTTTCTTCCATCAAATCTTCCTGCACATAAATAGAATTAATCAATAATTCGCTTAACGACAATGCTAGTAATAAAGATCTCCAATGGAACATGAATGAGCCTTTGAATTTGAAACCCAAAACTATCGATGCCAGTAGGTGATATAGCGGCAATAATCTATTTTAAATTTTTCTCTTCTTTCATTTTTACTTCCTTTTCCTCTTATTATATTATTAATTTTTCCTCCTGATTCGGAAAACATCAACATCAAGTAGTGAAGGACTAAAATCCCAATTCAAAAAGCCAAAGATAAAATCGATGATTTTAATCAGCATGAATTTGCTGATAGAGAAATGGTAGTTAGAGATATGAGACATCATATAACTTCGAAAAATTGAAATGCATGCATCAAGACGTATAAAACTTTCTTTGACTAACCGCGAGAAGTGAAATGCCTTATAAAAAAAAGGCAAATCGCAATTGAATAAGCCATGTCGACTGATAAAATTAATTATGAAACAAGTTCCAAGGCTTAGTAAAAATTCATTAATATCCAATCAACTTTTACAATACTATCCACCAGGTACTATTTATTATCCACTATTGATTCCGACAAAAAGTCACATTTTATATTCTTTTGGAAAAAAATCTTACTATCCGTTTCTGCTTTTTATCCACAAGAATTCGAATGTTGTTAAGTTCTATTTCACGCTTCTCCAGCAATAATGTCAATTCACCGTTTTTCTGCTTTTCAGTTGTGATTTGATCCTGCAAAAAAAAAAACAAACTATTAATCACAACTGACCAAAATCTCGATAAAAATAAGTCAGCTTCCCGATAAACCAAATTATTAAAAGCTTGCAAAACGTAATCAAGGAGCCGGATAAGTTTTTAATTATCGTGCTTTACTAACGCTTTAGTCCGCTACCAGTCAGTCATTTATTCCTTCAGCGCGTTATATATAAAAAACAAACCATCGACATGCGATTTTTTGCAATTGCTTCTTTCAAATGTTCACAATCGGAGAGTAATTTTTTCTTTTCCAAAGCCCAATCTTCTTCAGTTTCATTTTTTGTTCTTGTTTTTTCCTATATTTAATATTCAATCGTTGAAAGTCAGCAACTTAACAAAGCAAAATGTATTTAATATACTTATATCATGATCTATGCATTGGTAATTTTCTTTGACAATTTTAATATTTTGGGTGGATTATTTTTGTTAAATGATCATCTAAAAATTAGTTTTGTATAAATAGCAGGGAGAAACCAAATTTAAAGGAAACCAACATTCAATTGTGTTCTCAAATAAATAGCTTCATCGCGAAATCTTTTCAAATCATGATTACTTTTGGTAATTTCTTCATTCAATTCTTCGATCTAAAAACGTTGCAAAACTTTATACGAAATTGGATATAGAGATATTGATGTGTGCTCATATTGATCAAAAATCCTCTTTTGTTGATGGAACAAACAGTGATCCACTATTTCATAAAATATCTACTAATAAATACATAGTCCTAAAGAAGCCATTGCATCATAAATAGTATTACTTTTATCATCATTAATGATGATGACGTGATTTTTCATTTCAAGAATTACACATGGCGCTATCATTTCCAAAGGAATTATTCTCAAAAATATATTCCCTGGAAAATAACTAACCAATGAATCTTTCTTTGCTATTTCATCTAAGCATTCTGCTAATCGTAAATCCACATCACGGTATTTTTTTAGTTCATCAGCAAGCTGCGCATTTTGTAACGTAAGTTTCCCGTTTTTCTCCTGCCATGCAGCCAAATCTTTTAGACCCTTGTTATCAGCTTCAAGTAATGTCTGCTTCTCGCTTAATAATGCCTTAAAGGAAGCAATTTTTCAAAGTCAATTATTGCTTTCTATGAAATATTCTTTCATTTAACTGCAATTGAACAAAATGAAAGCCAACAACATGAACAGCAAAGGCAAACACAGCAGATATCTTCTCTGACTCTTGCATGATCACCTGAACAGAAACTCCATCCTCATGTACTATTTATATCAAAATCATCTCATCAATCGGTGAAGAGTTCCTCACCACGATTACTAACCTAACCCGGATCTCTCGAAGACTAACACTGTCAATCATTAAATATTTAAGCTCTAATCGTTACATAATCCTCTATCACTTCCATGATATGGATGCCGGCCATCAGAAAGTATAGCTTTGAAAAAATCCAATGTCAAAAGAATATTTAAAACAATTACATAATTGGTAAGTGCAAGTTGCTCAATTCGTTTCTCGAGCCCCAATTTTTCTTTCTTTAAATATTCGCGTTCCTCATCCCAAGCTTTCTTCTCCGCTTCCAGTTTCTGCTCCAGTCCACCAACTTTCGAATCTTGTTCTTGTAACTGCTCAAATCTTCCCTCAATTGCAAATAGCTGTTTCTGCAACTCAGCAACTTTTCCAGCACTTTCGTCGTATAAATCTTTGAATTTGTTGCATTTCTCTTCACAGTTTTTTTTTTCTTTATTTAAAATGTCAATTTCGACTCGTCTATTTTCTAGTTGTTTTCCCAACTCAATTCTCATTCTGTGATTTTTTTCCATCTCATTTTCTGCGACTCCATACTTTTTTTTCCAGATTTCTGCATTTTTTTCTGCTTCCTGAAGAAAAAAAAATAAAATTAATGATAATGTATTTTTTAAAATACACAACACGTATGACATATTAATCATCGAATAGTATAAAGTATTCATGTGTTTGCACTTTTTTGTAACTAGAGCGTTAGAGATCTAAGAATAGATATTCATGAATTCTATGCAATGATAAAAAAAAGTACGAAAATAAGAGAGCGAGAAGAGAACAAGTGTTAACTGCAATCTCTCCAACCGAATTCATACCCTCAATAATGATACATTTGATACATGTGCATTTTTGTTTTGAGATAATTGAATTAATCAATCATAAACAATTCGAACAGTATTAATCCTTACCTTCTTTATTTCCAGCTCAAATTTAAGCTCTGAAATTTTTGCTTTCATTGCCGTATTCTCATCTTGCAACTTCCTGAGTGTTTCTGAATGAGGCATCTGTAAAATCTTCGCATTGCTTATAAAACAGGAAAGTGACAAATTATTGTCATCAAAACGTAGTGAAATAAGTCACATGAGATAAATTGAAGCATCAATTTGAACGATGCAAGTCCTTGAGGTTTCTATGCATCACTTTCATCTTTATCTTGCTGGAGAAAATAGATGACCTTATCTGCTTCTATATCAATCGAAATATTCTCTACAAGTGCTAATTTCTGTTCGGCCATTCGTAGTTGATGTTGACATTCCATGAACTTTGCTTCATTTTTTTCAGCAGCTTCCTTCAATTAAATAAGAGCTTTGCAAGCTTTAAACAATGAACTATATGCACAGCTATATAATTCTCAAGTAAAATGTAATCACTCATTCAAATTCTTTCACCTTTTTTCTCTCAAAATGTGTTTTAATAAATGCAGTTAGAGAGAAACAAAAATTTCCTGGCACCTTGCAATAATATATAATATTTTGAAAAAAGGTTTTTTTTAAGTAATATTCATCACGAATGGGCAGTAATTAATTGGTAAAGTAATTAACCTTCAATTTTTCCATTTCTCTGGCCAAAGTTGCAGCATTGTCTTTCACGACGGAAACCTAAAGCTTCAACATCAAAACTCCTAATTCACATTTTATCGTTACTAAAAAACACTCATATTTTAAAAATCAATTAAAAAAATCCACTGCCTTTCATTTGTTCATGAAAAATTTACGTAGCATAATGCTTAATTCATTCTAACCAGGCGCATAAAGCATATCGGAAAATGCCGCATATTCTCACCTGGTCCTGAAAATGATGATTTTCACTTGCAAGCTTTTCCACTAACTGTGACAACCGCTCATTTTCTCCTTCTAGCTCAATGCATTCCAAATGCTTGTCGCGTAGCATTACAGCCAAATCTAAAAATCTTTCAACAATCAATTAAATTGGCTCAATCAATCATGCCCATATCTAATTAAGAACATTTAGCAAAATTCTGAATATCAGAAACGCTACCTAACTTGGTGTAGTTCTTATCATTGGAAACTACGTTACTCGTTTCACCAGTTGAACAGTCTAAAATAGTTGTCGCATCATCCTCTACACATTTCGCTGATGGAACTCTTTCAATTGGCGATATCTTCGGAGTACGTTTAGAAATTTGCTGAGTAGGCGGTCTAATTGGTGTTGAACTATCCGGAAAAACCGATGGTGGTGGATGTGGTGCGATCACATTACTTACTTCATTTACACTCTCATTTTCCTGAAACTTTATGAAACATAGGTTGAGACAAACTATAAATATCTTTGCACGATTCGAAATATTGTCAGAAAAGAAATTTCTCCATTATTGAGCAATTAAAAACAGCAATAATAAATTCAGCACTTCTGGACCCTCTCATCCATCATTTTTCTTAACAAATATTCTTCCACGAACTAACGATCAGATTCATTCCATCAGTTCGAAAGATAAACATATATATAAAATGGACAAAAGAAAAATTAATAAACTGCCAAAATTAATAAAATTAATAAACTTTGAAGGCTGAGAATAATTCAAAAAAGTGACTTCACCTGAGCAGGATTGTGATGCAATTCTTCGGCATGTTGGACGTCTCTTGGAGTATTTATTTCCGATCCGATACCATCATCACGATCTTCCATTTGCGACTTTAGAATTTCTCTTAAAAAAGAACAATTAATGTTAATGAATACATCTGAAAAAAGCGTCAAATGAAAAATAATACTAACTGGACTCTCTCATTCATCATTTTTCTTAACAAATATCTTCCCAAGTAAAAATTGGATTGATTACCTAAATGCTATCTCCTGATACCAAATGATATTAATGTCCAACAATTAATTAAATTACCCAATTTACTGTACTATAAACGAAGTAACGAATACGAGTGAAAAGTATCACATCAACTAGTACTACAAGACTAATGCTAGTGAAATAACTATCAAAACTATCATTGTAAAATAAATTCAAACAAAAGAGGCCACGCTGAAAATCATTTTCCCAGTTGTAATATAATTCTAAATGATAATTACTATTTATTAATATAATTTCTGTTTTAGCCATGTGTATGTCAAAGATGAAGTATTTAAAAAGAACTGTAGTTTTTTAAGGAACTATTTAACTTGTTAATTTTGACAAATAAGGGCTGATCGGTGATTATTCGATGGGAAGTGTGACACTTTTGAAAATTTGTATTTCTCAACTTTGCCAAGAATATTATAAAGTTTGAAAGAATATTATAAAGTTTGAAAGTTTGAAGAAAAATGATTCCAATAGCTTATTGCTAATGATCGACACTTTCAAAATCAAAGATATAATTGTGACAGTAACGCTTCTAATCCTCTTTATTTATTTGGTATGCGAAAATAACGAAAAAACTTATTTTCCACTTATTGATTTTTCATGTAGAATAAAAGAGAAAGCAAAGAAATCCTCAAAAACTTTAATATGAATTTTTGCAAGTGAAATAACTTGAATGCAAGACTGAAATAAACGATATTGCTACTATGATTTGAATGGTATTCGTATTCGAATTCGAATTTACAAATTGTCAACAACATGAATTTTTCATTAATATTGGAAATAATTAAGGATTAAAATAAAAGTTTATTTTTGATTTTCTTCTTAACTTTGATGTAAAATTTCAAAAAAGAAATTGAAACAATGAATGTTACCCTCATTAACTTTCATTTCAGCGATGATTATATCATTTCTTTCTTCTTTCTCAATGACCATATACGTGCAAATCAAATGATCTACTCATACCATCACGATATATGATATATATGTAACTCTTTAGAGGATTCCACAAGTCCAAAGATTATGTCTTGTTGATTTCCGTGTAGATCAAATAATCTACTCGTACCATCACGATTTATATATACCACATTCCATGGAACACTTTTCAGATGATTCCATTCCAGAAGTCCAAAGGTTTTGTCTTGTTGATTGCCTTTCTTTGTGGAGGAAGTGGGTAAGGAATATCTTCCTATGTACTAAATCGATAAAGATGATAGTAATATTATAACGATAGGTTATATTTCATTGTTTTTCTATTTCAAGCGTATAAAATTTCTTCTTTTAACGTCTGTTATGATAATTTTGAAATTATTATTCTTGATCTAAGAGCATTCTTTTTCCCGCAAGAAAATATGAAGTCAAGCAAAGTAGAAGGGCCGTGTCTGCCAACTTTGGAAGGCCTAAAAAATCATTTACGCGCGGAGCCACTTTACTTTCAAATGTTGGATGATTATTTTCACAGAGCGGTCAATCTAGTATGTTTTTCTGATCAAAAATTTATTTTTAATTTACGAGATAAAGTTTAACTTGTAAATGATAAATGGATAATGCTTCTATCACCAGAATTTTTGAGGAAGAATCGGGCATACTACCATGAATCAAAAAATGGAATATTATTATTTGATTGAAAGTGTATTTATATGTATTTGTTGCTGCAGCGCATTGAACGTAAGGATTAGACTATTCAGTAATTGTAATAACCGATATTCTTCAGATTAATACAACTTGAGGGCGAGATTGGAGGAAAGTTAGCATCAAGCGGAAATATTCCGCCATGCAAGGAAATGTTCCTTCCGCCATCTCAGGAACAACTGGAAGTGTTCCGCGAAATTTCCCTACAGCAGTATGGCCTGAACAAAGAGAACGAAAATAAAGGTCAGGTCATGCTTCATCTCCTCCAGCATCAAGAAATGGAGCCGGAAGATTTGGAGGAAAAAACCAATGCCAACGAAGAAGAGGAGATGGAGATGGCGGAGAGGCGGCAAGTAACATCACATGGGCTATTCCTCAATGAGGTAAGTGTCGGTGCAGTACCGAGAGCACCGGCAGTAGTACCGAAACGCAGAAAATTAGTAAAAAGTTTGTGAAATTGCATTGTAAGTTAGATTTTTAACTGTGTAAATGTAGCAAAAAGTGTTTATAATCCGATCTAACATCTTAAATTCAAACATTGAAGAGATGTTCTTATTGCTGAAATCAATAGTTATGAATGTGTTTTAGACGTTCTTGGACAATAAAAGTCCCAATTGCGGAGCAAGAAAGAAATAAAAAAGTACCTGTGGAACCGGAAGCCTTCCACGTGCCGGCAATGGAAGGTTTACCGGCACAGTATCGAGAGATACTAACGGCTCCAGAAAGCGCCCATGATACGGAATGATAATGGGTCGACCACAGTTGGTGAAATTATACTTGTTTCATTAGTATAACGAGACAAATTTTATTTTAATATAGTATTATGTAATACTTGATATGCATCACATATATATTAGTTCACCTAATGGATTGAATTAAAAACGTGCTTTCAGAATGTGGCTTTTGTTCAAAAGAATTTGGGACACTGAAAGAATGGAGGGAATAAGAAGATTTTTGGGAAGGGTCATTCAGCGATAGCTACTTATCTGAAAAAAATTAATAGAATAATTTTGATATCCATATTTTTAGGCTTTTGCCAAAAATGCAGCCATTTTGTTGAGACACCGCAAGCAATCTCCGCTGAAGAAATTGCAGCAGGAATGGATCTTCATTCCATGTAATAGTGCCCTAAGGTCACTAAGGCTGTCGCCAATGAGAGGGCTGCTAAACGAAGGAGGCTCGAGCTGGTGGGTAGAAGGGAAGAGGCAGAGCGCTACTTCATTTCCGTAAGAAAAATGTTTTTTTAATTATATTGAATATTAGTTGTATGTAAGTGGTCTTTGTTTTAACAATATGCTTTCTGATTAATTTATTTCTTCCTTCCAACTAATGCTTTCCAGGCGTATTGCAAGGCATTGATTTAACTCATCTCTACTATCAAAAGCCATCTGATCCAATCTATGTCAATTCTGTCTCGCGCCAATTCCGCTATCTGATTCAATCTCCGCCAATTCTATTTCGCTCAAAAATGTTATCTGGGCGTAAGTGAATAATCTACTTCAGTTTTTTTGTTGTTCTTTTTTATTGCTAATCTTTATGCTATTACTGTTATTTTGTTTCAATAATATAAACTAATTTATTGGTAAGTGTTAAGTAATGATGAAATTTTATCAAATTTAATTTCCTGTCTTTTTATAACTATGAGAAAAACATTATCTCAAACAGTTTGAACTTCATGGAAGTAATCACTGATAAGATCTTTTTTGATCGGTCATTTTATCAAATGTTTTTCATTGCGACTTTATACTTTAATAATGAAAGCTTTTTTGTTTATTTGTGTTAGCTAAATTTGTTTTGTTTTTATCCTTTAATTGTTTATGTTTTCAAGAAAGATAAAAGGAAAAAATCAAAAAAGCGAAATAAAATAGTGAAAAAAACAAAAGAGAAAAATAAATACAAAAAAACATAAAAAATGAAAAAAAGAAAAAAAGGAAAAGCAAAAAATGAAAATTAAAAAACAAAAAATGAAATTAATTTTTTCTCTTTTGTTTTTTACTATTTTATTTCGGTTTTTTGATTTTTTCCTTTTATCTTTTTTGAAAGTATAAACAATTAAGGGATAAAAGCAAAACAAATTTAGCAAATATTAATAAACAAAAAAGCTTTCATTATTAAAGTATAAAGTCGCAATGAAAAACATTTGATAAAATGACCGATCAAAAAAGACCTTATCAGTGATTACTTCCATGAAGTTCAAACTGTTTGAGATAATGTTTTTCTCATAGTTATAAAAAGGCAGGAAATTCAATTTGATAAAATTTCATCATTACTTAACACTTACCAATAAATTAGTTTATATTATTGAAACAAAATAACAGTAATAGCATAAAGATTAGCAATAAAAAAGAACAACAAAAAAACTGAAGTAGATTATTCACTTACGTCCAGATAACATTTTTGAGCGAAATAGAATTGGCGGTGATTGAATCAGATAGCGGAATTGGCGCGAGACAGAATTAACATAGATTGGATCAGATGGCTTTTGATAGTAGCGATGAATAAGGTCAAACCCCTGCAATACACCTGGAAAACATTAGTTGGAAGGAAGAAATAAATTAATCAGAAAGCATATTGTTGAAACAAATACCACTTACATACAACTAATATTCAATACAATTGAAAAAACATTTTTCTTACGGAAATGAAGTAGCGCTCTGCCTCTTCCCTCCTACCCACCAGCTCGAGCCTCCTTCGTTTAGCAACCCTTCCATTGGCGACAGCCTTAGGGACCTTAGGGCACTATTCCATGAAATGAAGCTCCATTCCGGCTGCAATTTCTTCAGCGGAAATTGCTTGTGGCGTCTCAACAAAATAGCTGCATTTTTGGCAAAAGCCTAAAAATATGAATATTAAAATTATTCTATTAACTTTTTTCAGATAAGTAACTATCGCTGAATGACCCTTCTCAAAAATCTTTTTATAAGTTACTGCATTTACTTTTGCAAACAATACAATGGGAAATTAAATCACCATTTTGCCTATGAATTTTACTGGCGTGGATCCTCCATTTTATCAGTATTCCAAATTCTTTTGAACAAAAGTCACATTCTGAAAGTACGAATTAGATAGCTTTTCTGATATTCAGAATTTTCTAGAAATGTTCTTGATTGGATGTGGGCATGTTTGATTGAATCAATTTAATTGGTGGGTAATAATTACATTGAACAATTAGATGGGTTATGATTGCTTTGAACAATATATTAACAACGAAATTTAAATTATCATCCTTAAATTATCGAAATTGCTCAGACGATTTCTAGGTCTTATGAAGTTATCAGCTGCATGCTTTAATTTATCAAAATTTACATCGCTGCTTACATTTTCTTTGTTCACCACTTTGTTGTATTCCTGAGTTGCTTGATAATTATATTAAACAGTGTTACTCTCAATTTTATAATTTTCTAACTAACTTTAACTTTAGTTTCACATTCGTATTCTGTAATCGCAGTCTAATGATGAATTGAAACACAGTGAATGTATGTATAAAAAATAATTTTGTAAACATTTTAACGAAAGAAACGCGATATTTAATTAATATTAATATCATCATTTATTATTTTAATATATGATATGTTTTATAATTCTACTATTATCCATCACTATACCGATATATTCTCTTGTGATAACTACACTTGAATAATAACGCAGATGTATAAAAGTTGTGTAATAAATTCATGGTGTTCAGGTTCCAGAAAATCATTCTTTTGATCCGCTTTAAATGAATTTCGCAGAATGCATAGATTTGGGAAATGTAAAGAAAGCATTGCCGTTTAATTTAAAGTATATATTAAAAGATAATTGGGAAGAAATTAGGCGGCAGATGTTCTCAGATCTGAATCATTCTGGAAGTTGAAGTTTCTGTCAATTGGAGTCGTGAAAACGGACTTTAATTATCTGGTCAACAAATTTGATTTATGCGGTAAACATATTACTATATTTATTACAATATCCGACAGATCAATAAGTACAGGGTTGTAGAATCTCTCAGAATTATAGATGGGAATGGCAAATGAAAAAACATAAAAAGGCTTATTCGAAATGTGACTAATGCAAAAAACTATAGTAAAAAGTTTGACTGTTAGTATTCCATTTTGAAAGTAAAATGAAATAAGAAATAAATCATCGAGAAAATATTTAGGATGTTCGATATGTATGAAATATCTCAGACATAATAATATGTCGATGCTTCATTTGGATATATCTCATTTTTTGGAAAATGAACTGCGATATTTACATATAAATATATATGTTATTGATTGATTGATTTAATAACAATAATTCGTTTCAATTATTTTATAGAATGCGTATAATATCCGTTTTGTAGAAGTGATATTTTATATAAGCAATTAAAAAGATAAGTTCATTCGAATATCAAAAATGATCAATGTAGTAATATAATTTAGTCTTTATTATTTTGTCAAAAATATCAAGGGGAAATATATATATGTTACAATATATATTAGACAGCTATCAAATATTATCATATTAATTTAATTTCTAACATTATGAATTATCATATCATTTAATAAAAAGAAATCATTTTGATATGTTATCTGATTTATGAGAAATATTTACAAAAATAAATAATAGTAATTATTGTTAATTTCAAAAGAGAAGAAGAAATTAGAAACAAATTTAAATTAATTGTTTATTAGAGATACTTATGTTTTTTGCAATCAAATATTTCGGTATTTTTAAATAATACTTTAAATAACCTATAGATTTTTGTATTGCTTAAGAAAATATTGAAAGTATTGTTTTAATATTGAAATTTGATAATGTTCTCATATTTGTCCTAAAATTAGACAATAATTATATTCTTTTAAATAAGCAACAACAATTATAGCAAAATAAATTGATGATAATTTTATGATATATTTGATGTGTAGGATTTATTTCAACTTACCACTCGAATGTTGTTGCATTTTATTATTAAAAAAATATTAAAGAATATAATTGTTGCTTAATTTTAGGACAGATATGAGAACATTGTTAAAATTTCAATATTGAAATTTGCATGGATGCATAATTAATTTATTATGCAAAGATTAATATTTTATTGCAAATTAATTGGATCTATTTTATCGACTAATTTTTATTTCAGTTTTTTAGATCTTAATTTTTTTCTTGCACCTCTTTTATTAGCTTTTTTTTCTGTTTACTTCTGTCATTTAATTCGCAGTGTTAATTAATTTTCAACTAATTTTGCCTTAAGTTTTAATTTAATCTTAATGAAAATTGAATTTGCATCGAAAATACTGAGATACAATAATATATTTAGCTTCTTTATGATGTTGCAATGTTACTTGCTATTTGAAAAATACATTTTTAACTGATCTCTTTACTATCTTCAATAACATCAAGTTACTTACTTATGCAACAACTGTAATTTTAATTAAATTTAGAAGTAATTTAATTTCGATTATATTTTAGACTCTCAAAAACTGCAGCATTATTGCTATCATTGTGTTGCTAAGAAAATATTTGATTTTGCAACTGTATTCTAAAAACAAAAAAAACTATTAAATTTATTTACTAAACATTTTCAAATTTAATTTGTCAACTATGTTAGTTTGTCATCCTAATGTTAGAAGAATTACTGTCCAGCATATCTTAGAGGTGACACAATTGCAGGTACAAATTACTTTTAATGATTAGATATATGATTTAATTCAAGCAAAGCATTCTGTAAAATAATTTTTACTAAAGTATGAAATCAAGTAAGGCAACAAAAAACTTTAATGT